GGAATATATGAACCTGAAGTTCATAATTATTTTGAAACCTAAAGTTTCTTACAAACATGCCTTGTTTGAAAACCTGAAGTTTTCATTTAACAACATCACCCATGATAACCTGAAGTTTTTCATGCAAAATTAAACCAATACATGTCTATTAGAACTTATATGTTCTACTCCTATGTGAATGGATTGATTTTTTCTCCATTACACTAACCACATCTTGTTTATCTATTTTGTGATAGGAACATGTCGAACTTGAACAAACTCGACTTCACTACTTTAGAGGTCTATGAAAGAAACTACCTCAAGTGGGTCCAAGATATGAAGCTCCACCTCACTGCCAAGAATTTACGTCCAACTATTGAAGAAGAGATAGACAACCCTATTGGTGAAACTAAAAAAGCCACTGCTATGATCTTCATTTGAAGATATATCCATGATGCTCTGCAAACTAAGTATCTTACTTAGGAGGATCCGCATGCACTATGGGTCACTTTGGTTGATTATTTTGATCACCAAAAGGACATATTCTTACCTGAAGCAAGACACAACTGACAACACTTGTGCTTCCAAGACTTTAAGTCTATGAATGAATATAATTCTAAAGTTTGTCGAATTCGATCACTTCTCAAGTTTTGCAACGAAACTTTGATTGAAGATGATCTCTTGGAGAAGACCTATTCGTCATTCTCTGCCAACAATATAGAGCTCAGAAGTTCACCAAGTTCTAGGATTTGATCTCTGTTTTACTTCTTGTTGAAAAGTAGAACAGCTGTTGATGAAGAATTATCAAGCTCGACCTACTGGGGCGACTGCTGTGCCTGAAGCACATTATAGCACCAACCAACGTCCAAAACGCCAAAAGAGGCGTGGTAGGGGCGGCTAGAAGCCATCCCACCAAGGTCAACAGAGTTAAGGCCCATCTAAGGGAGGAAACAAAGCCTCAAAACGTCTAAACCTCGCACCCAAGGCCCCAAACTTTAAGAATAAGGGCAAATCACCTGCAACCATGGACGCGGATATGTGCTATCGCTGTGGTTCAAAGGACCATTGGTCCCGTGTTTTTCGAGCTCCCAAGAAGGTTGTAAATGAATATCATTCTCGTCGTAAGAAGTTTGAATCAAACTTTTTGCTAGTGGATGAACCGAAGACTACAAAGATGGAGGTTTCTAACTTTCAAGGGGATACCACCGTTATGGAAGATTAGAATCTTAGACATATACTTACTTTTTAGTTGAAATAAGACAATGGGGCCAAATTCCACCTAGTGGCCGAACCCCTCCTTTGTTTTTGGTTGATTTTTGAACAATTTTCCTTTATGTTTGGAATATTTGTTGGTGTTTTTTTTTCTTTTCGATATTAAGTTTTAATTAATTGCCATCCTTGAATAAATGAAATTATTTTGAATTGATATTTGTTTTTATGAACTTTTATGCATGTGACCGATTCAAATTAATTTTTCATTCTAGGTATGATTAGAGGGAAAGTTAGTTGTCTGACAGATAGTGCAACCACGCATACAGTTTTGTGTGAACGCATCTATTTCACCAACTTCATACCTAAGAATGCACCTCTAACAACCCTCTTAGGCCTATCTAACCTGATAAAAGGATACAGTAAGGCACGTATAATGCTATCCAATGGTACAATCTTGACCATCTCTGATGCACTCTATTCTCCACATTTCGGAAGAAAACCCACGTAGAAAACAGAGTTGAATTATGTGCATAACTTCCTATTAATATGGCCATAAATGTATTTTAGAGAAGATTGAACGTATCCCGAGTGATCTGTATACTATGACCATACATCTCATAGAATGCCATTATGTGGCTAGCCCTACTACTGGGACTGCGTACGAAATTACACTTTGGCATGATCGTTCAGGACATCATGGATAAATAGCGATACGCCGTATCCTTAAATTATCACACGGGCATCCACTAACCCAAAGCTTAGGTTCGATCCAAGGAATCGCATGTCAAACATGTTCAATGGGAAAGCTTATTACTAAGCCTTCTTATGACAAGATTCATTCGAATCCTCCCATTTTTCTACAATGGATTCAGGGGGACATTTGTGGACTGATTCACCCTCCATGCGGACCATTTAGATACTTTATAGTTTTGGTTTATGCTTCCACACGTTGGTCACACATGTGCTTGTTGTCCACAAGGAACACTACATTTTCCAAACTGTTGGCTTAAGTTATCAAGCTCAGGACTCATCATCCTGATTATCCGATCAAATCTATTTGATTGGAAAATGCTGGAAAATTCACATCTAAAACTTTTGATGACTATTGCATGTCGGTTAGGGTTGAAGTTGAACATCAGAACCATAGAAGAATGCGACGTGGAGACCCAAACTAGCTACAAAGTGGTTTTGCACACCTTCATCTGAGTGAGCGACGACTCACTCTCGAGGTGGATAGCAAACACAGTGGTTAGAAAAGGCTTCTCAATGGAAAACAAGCATTTAGCAGACAAACTGGAATTTATGGCCAGGGGAGTGGAATAATAGAGAATAACACACGTGTGGCAAAAGGAAGAAGAACTAAGTAGTTGGTTCGTTAGATTGAGATCACAAGGCAGATAAACTATTCGGCGCCTCATCAAGAGTTTAAAACTCATAATCTTGAGAGACAGAGCAAATTTTTAGTGTGATGATTGGGCACAACACTAATAATGCTATCAAATTATTATGCTTAAATTTATTTATTTTTCACAAATTAAATTTTTTTTCACTTGTAAGTGAGAGGTCTTAGGTTCGATTCTCGCCAAATGCGAATTTGAACCACATTGTAAAGCTTAGTCTACTCCCCACCCCCTTACCGTAGATAATATCGTTTGTTAAAAAAAAACATAACATATCAATTTTGTCATTTAATAGTACACAAAACATGCCACTTAATAGTACGATCTAGTGGTATCCTTCTTCACTTATAAGTAAGAAGTCTTATATTTGATTCTCGTCGAAGGTGAATTTGAACCAAATTATTACTAGCCCATTGTGAGGTTTAACCCACTCATTCACCCCTTAGTGTAGATAATATCTTTTGTTAAAAAAAAAAAAATAGTACATAACACATGAAAAAATTATTACTTGACTTATGTATAAGAAGCCTATAAAATTCTCTTCACAATGACATCCAAATAAAGCTGAAATGGAGTAAGATTATTTCCCCTCAAATCTTCCTCCCCTCCAATCCCCTTATCTTTGTACTTCTCTCTCTATAAAAGGTCAACTTATAGACAGAGAAAGACAAAGAGGGAAGTGTGAGAGAAAGATAGGAATTCAGAAGGAGAGAGAATCTTATTCCGACTGAAATGGAAAACATGACCACATGTCCACAACTACAGATAAGTAGCACCAATCATGAGTGAGAGTGGGGCCTGACCTGAGCTATTTTGATTTGTTTTGATTAAGGCCACTATCTGTCCAAGGCTTCCTAGGCCATCTCCAATCGAATTAGGGGCAAATAACCATGTTTAGCCCTATAGCCTTGTAAGAAATTATATTTTAATGAATAATGTCATACCATATTTTATACCATCTCCAACCAAGGGGGCCATAGGCCAAACATAGTCATTTGGCAAAAAATTCATCTCCAACTGAGGGGGCCAAAAGGTCATAGGCCAAACATAAACCCCTCAATAATTTATTATTTTAATTGAATTAATATAGTTAATTAAATTAAACTACCATATTAAAATAAGGTTTTCGGACATATTTTAAGTGCCACTTGCCACAATAACGAAGAAAGCGTGGTATTGTTGCACCGGCCACAAAGTCATGCTTAACATTCTAACGTTGGAGGGCTAGCTAGAAATGGCCAGCCCGCTGGCCTGATTTATAGGTTTTGGTCCGATAGGCCCCACAAGCTATTTGCCCTATCCCTCAATTGAAGACGATTTTCGTGTCATTCCGAATTATTTTTAACCTTTTGATCTTTTGACTAGTCAGTTGGAGATAACCTTATTGCTACAAAGAAGGCTCAAGAAACAACGGGTCTAATGGTCACAACTCACAAGGATGGGTGGAGGGTATTTCCGTCTTTCAAAAAAAATCGAACATTCAAAAAGTGCAGAAAATTGCAACGGTCCGCAAATCAAATGCTTCCCTCTGGGGAGGGAGAGAAACCCTAATCGGAAAAGAAAATCCATCCATTTTTCTTTTGTGGGTTTGATTCGATACTTGGATTTTTCGATTTACTGATTATTTTGAATTTTAGAGCAGCAGGAGCTATTTATTTAGTAAACAGAGAGAGAGAGAGAGAGAGAGAAACCCTAATCGGAAAAGAAAGTCCATTTTTCTTTTGTGAGTTTGATTCGATACTTGGATTTTTCTATTTACTTATTACTTTGAATTTTAGGGCAGCAGGATCTATTGATTTAGTAAATAGTTGATTTGATAAGTTGTTCGTAAATTGCCTGCTTTCTATTTTCTATTTATTTGTTATTGGGTGTTGGTGTTAACGAATCATAATGGCCGCAGTAGATTTGAATAAATCAGCAAAAACCCTAACAGCCGGCGATGAAAGTAAGATTACAAGTCAGACATCGGAAAATATGATCAAGCCTTGTCACTCCCACTCCTGCAAATCCTAATCCCAGTTCCAATCCCAATATCCCAATATCCCAATATCCCAATCCCAATCCAGGAGGCTGATTGCCAACCCCAGCTTCCACTCAAGTAAGTAAACCATCCCTTATTTCTCCACACCTTATACTATTTTCTCATTACCTTTCCTTTATAAAAACAATTCTGTTTAAAATTAGTCTATATTTTTTTGTAAATGTGTAGATATAGGATTATAGCGGAATTGTTTGCTCATATGAATTGTTCCTTGAGATTGCTTCTTCTGAGTAAAAGGTCGCCTACTTTTCAAAATGTTTTTGCTCAGGTGAAAGTCATGGCACAAAGATAATGCCTAACCCTTCACAATATTCCTGTTTGATAGTGCATTTCTTTCATATGCTGGTTGGCGCCTAGCGGTGGTGGGTGTTGCTTTTCCACTTATAACCAAGTGTTCTTCTTTTCCTTTCCTTTTTTCAGAAAGTTCTTGCACATGCATCTTACTTAACTGAAATTTGTACTTCCGGAAACCATAAAGATAGATAGTATTTTGGCGCAGGACTAGAAAACTCTATGCACCAATCCAGATATGAATATCACCTTGCTAGTTGATGTTGTAGAAACTCACTCTCAAGTACCTGACTTTATGGCTCTGCGCCAAGTTTTTAATTTTAGGCTTATTCATTTCTTCGCCCTGCATCCTGAGGTATGCCTACTCTTTCTCAGAATATTTTCCCCACTTTTCCTTCTTCAATATGAAAGACTGCTGCAAGCTCCTTGATTGGTTCTAATAAGTATGTTTTAGCAAATGAAACTTGACTATATAAAACAGAAGATGTGGATCTCAACCGTGTAGGACATGAATAATGCCTAAAAATGTTAATTTAGCTTGATTTGAGTGACATATGATAGTCTTGTGGTATATGAAATGTTAGTGATCAGATTGAGCTGGCTTCAACTTAGTGATTCTGCTTTGTAGGATCGGGATTAGTTATTTAGTGACACGTAGAAGATGAAACAGTTGCATGCCAGAAAGTTTGATTGAGTAATTTTCAGATGACAGCCCATTTTGTATAAATGTACAAAGAAAAGATTAAGTTTATTTCAACAAATTGATTATGTTTCCTCCACTTGGGCATACCTCTTTGCATCCTGTATTAGTGTATTTGATTAATCGGATAGGTAATATTCTATGTAATATTTGGGTGTTAAAAGATAAAAGAAATGAACTCATGCATTTTTATTTTTGAGATAAAGGCTTGTGATGTTCTAGATGCCATTTTGGTAGAGCCTTTTAGCCAAAGACAGCGTGTTATTGTTGCTCAAACAGAAAAGGCCCAGCTCTTAGCATCTCCATCCCCCACGCCATCTGATGGTGTTAGGAACAACAAAAATGGGCAGAATAAAGTATTTACTATTCAATCTTCCAATTTTAAGAGTAAATCGGAGCTAGATATCTAAAAATGGGAAGTAGAAGGAATCATGTTTTGAATTTCGTATTATCAACCACTCAGTACACCTGAACCACCCACAATGCTCTATTGCTTCAAGTGTATCTGAAAGCCCTCATGTAAAGCTCACCTCATCTGCTGACAGTTTCAGGTACAAACACCTGCACTATTGACACCAAGGAGATCAATGCCCAATTGTGACGCCGAGCATGAGACCATAAACAGCCAATCAACATCATGTTATAAGCCTGCAAAAAGAATTCTAGACTTCTCGCACTTGGAAGGTGATAAGATTGCATTGGATTGTATAACAGATTAGTCAGACTACTACAAAGTTGTAAACCAAAACATCCCTAAGACTACAGAAACACCTTTTGAGGATGAAAATGTTACTTTTTCTCTGGAACCACAAAAGGTATGTTATTTTAGAACTTTTCAATTATTCTTGTAAATTGGCATTGGCATACTTTAAATTTAGTTCTTTACTGTTTTCTTAAACTTGCATAGTCATAACTTTCTTTTCTAAAGGCTGTTGAATTGATTGACTTGGGGCAATTTTAAATTTTGTCAAGTGAAGTGTTTATTTCAAGGTTCATGATGAGATCAACTAGATTTACTGCATCAAAACTCTGGTATTTTTCCTCTGGTGTGTGTGCGTGTGTGTGTGTGTGTTCATTTATCTTAAGAAAGCTCATACTATCGATCAATTCTGCATGATATGACACCAGGAAATATAATGATGTTTCTTTTGTCCAAGTAGATATTGTTTATGAGAACTTAAATGTGCAATCCCTTTTTTTGTACTTTTTACCTGTTACATTATTTGAACTTAATTCTGTCTCCCACTAACATGGAGCCTATAGGTCAAGCAGATAATTGGTTACGCTGATAAGGATTGCAAGCGCATCACTGTGCCATCAAATCTCTGCTTGCATAGATGATGTGGTTACTATAGTTCACGGGATATTCAAGTCTTTAAACTGGTCCCTAATCACAAATTGTGCACAAGATAATTATGACTTATGAGTAGCTTGGATATTGTTAAAAGAAGTGTGTGTCAATGAGTTAAACTCTTGCTTTTTTTTTTTGTTGCATTATCTAAACTAGGTGTTTCATGACTTGACCATTTTTTTTTTTTCCTTTTCAGGAGAAGTCAAAGAACATATTGATCTTCTTAAAAGGTATGTTCCAAATTTGTTCCATATGGAGTTGCTAGTGGAGATACTGTGTACAAGTAAGCTTCATTTTTATTCCGTTAATTTGTCAGTAACATCCTTACACATGAAGAGATGTCTGGTATGTGATTAGAAGACTTGATAAGATCAATGTTGTTAGGCCTTTTCCAGTGACATCAGTTTCTCATAAGAATATCAAAATTTCTGTAAAAAAATACCGTGAGAAATATCCTTGTGGTGTCCCCCAAAGGAAGGTTCTTACGTGTTGCCCACTATTCCCTCTGCGGTGGGGAATCATCTTTCTGGCCCATGGTGTGCACAAACCCTTTTAACACAAGGGATGAGGACATGATAGGTTTTTCTTTTTAATGTTAATGTTGGGCAGGAGCACCCACGCAATGTTAAGAGAATCTCAATTTGGTTAGGAACGTTGACTTCGTTTTTACTAGTGTATTATTCGATTGAAGGTTATGTAGGGGAAATCACAGGTTTAACCCTTAATAATAAAGCATTTCTAGTATATCTTGTTCAGGTGTGGTCTTCTATCTCGTTTAACTTTGGTATATCTTGTTCAGTTTTATGAGGGAAAAATTATATCAAGAAGTTCCTGATTATCCTTTGTAGATTACAAGTTTATTTGTTGTAGAGAGATTATATTCACATCCCAAATTACTTTTTTCATACTTTCTTATTTTAAATATTTTTTTGATATTCTACACCTGATTAACACTTGATAGAAAATATTTTAAAAAATTAAAAAAGTGTGAAAGACGTAATTTTCGATGTGTGAATATAATTTATTTCTTTTTGTATTATGGATATTTGTTTTTCATCATCTTATTCAAAAGCTTGTCGCGACTATTTTCTTTCATGCTGTTTTTTCATTTTAGAAGTTGGAAGCAAATCATTTGTCTGTCAAATTGATATTTTTTTGTCCGATGACAATGACGTGCAGAATCAAGAAGGTGGCAGATTCAAAATGTGTCAAAGTTTGAGGAGAAGAGGATACAAGTGTACTAGTGATTGTGACAGATTCGATCAACCGGAATTAGATCCTCTCCGGATCTCTTCACTAGGGATCCGGATGATCAATTAATATTAACCGCTCATCAAAGATCATGCAGTCGCAATTGAATATTTCTTTTATTTTCAAAATTAAAGTAGTCTCGTTTTGCCTGAAAAATATATAAAAGAAAAAAGTTGTGGCCGCATGATTTTTGATGAACGGTTATTATTAATTGATTCTCATTATCCTCAGTGAGGGAATGTCACATCCCGGACCAGGGCAGATCACTTTCCGGGTCCGTTCCACCGTAGCACGATATTGTCCACTTTGAGCTTACCATTCCCTCACGGTTTTGTTTTTTGGGAACTCACGAGCAACTTCCAAGTGGGGGTTACCCATCATGGGATTGCTCTAGCCCTCTTCTCGCTTAACTTCGGAGTTCCTACGGAACCCGAAGCCAGTGAGCTCCCAAAAGGCCTCGTGCTAGGTAAGGATGAGAATATACGTATAAGGATTACTCTCCTGTGCAATGTGGGATGTCACAATCCACCCTCCTTAGGGGCCTGATGCCCTCGTCGGCACACTTCCGGCCAGGGATTGGCTCTAATACCAATTTGTCATATCCCAGCCCGGGGCGAATCACTTCCCCGGCCTGCTCTACTACCATGTCTGCTTTGGGCTTACCATTCCCTCACGGTTTTGTTTTTGAGAACTCATGAACAACTTCCCAGTGGGTCACCCATCATGAGATTGCTCTAGCCCCCTTCTCGCTTAACTTCGGAGTTCCTACGGAACCGAAGTCAATGAGCTCCCAAGGCCTCGTGCTAGGTAGGGATGAGAATATTCATATAAGGATCACTCCCCTGGGTGATATGGGATGTCACAATCCACCCCCCTTAGAGGCCCGACGTCCACCGTTGCACGATATTGTCTGCTTTGGGCTTACCATTCCCTCACGATTTTGTTTTTTGGAAACTCACAAACAACTTCCCAGTGGGTCACCCATCATGGGATTGCTCTAGCCCCCTTCTCGCTTAACTTCGGAGTTCCTACGGAACCCGAAGCCAGTGAGTTCCCAAAAGACCTCGTGTTAGGTAAGGATGAGAATATACATATATGGATCACTCCCCTGGGCGATGTGGGATGTCACAGGGAATCCAAAGAGGATCTAATTCCTTTAGATATAAAAAAGAAAAAAATTGTGGCCGCACAATATTTGATTAACGGTTGTTATTAATTGATTTCGGGGATCCCCAGAGAGGGAATTCGGAGATGATCTAATTCCCGGAGTAGGATTATCTCCCCTCTTTTTTCCCCTCCCCTCCTATTTGAACGGTCACGGTTAAGCTACGTTAACATCTTATATTAATTTTTTATAGTAAGAGAAAGACAAAATAAAAGAATATGAGAGGAAGGAATGGAAAGATGATGGAAGAGAATCCTAGTCCCTAATTCCCGATCAACTGATTGAATTGATACAGTGGCCCTGCAATGCAAAAAATAATAATAATAATTTATTCGTTGACAAAAAAAATATGAATTTATTCGACAACTTGCAAAAAAAATATGAACTTATTCGACAACTTAATTCATTCATATAAGATGGGCAGGCATAGTCATTCACCTTTAGATTATGAATGGTGAAGAAAAATGAATGTGCTTTTGAACCTTATTATTAAATTTAAAGGAGGTGATCACAAATCCTTGATCATTCAGAGTGAGCAAGAGAACAACACTCTGTAAAAAAAATTCCTTATGATTTCATCGGTTTTGAACTCATGACCTCTTTTAACATAAACTTGACTAAGAAGGCACGTTACACATTGTTAAGAAAACTCACAAACATTATTAAAACATTATTCCACTAGAATAAGTATTAATTCAAGAAACAAAATACAATTTATAATGTACTTACTTATTGACTATATATTTGTATAGATAGGTATTTGTTCACACGTGTGATGACAATATTTGTATTGAGTTCGACAATAAGTTTGTGATTCTTGTGACTTAGGTGGGTGGATCGACAACTAATTATAAAGTATTTTTGTAAATATTCTATCATTTATAAATAAAAAAGATAAATTTTATGCGTGTCTTTCCTATGGTATAGTAAATGTTTATGCATCTTAAAAAAAATTATAATGTAATTTAAGCAAATATTTTTAGGAATACAACGATACGTTGACTCTAAGGAGTAATGAGATAAATTGGTATCAAAGTTATTAGCCATGAAACTCGAACATAAGACTCTTTTACTTAGGTGTGAAGATGAGTACCACTAATTAATGGCAATTGAGTAACTAGTTGGAAAAAAAAAAACTTTTTAAAGACGATATGAATAAATTTTGAAATAAAGCGAGATATATGAGGTCAAGTTCAACTTGTAAGCGAGATAGATGGCATCAAGTTCAAATTGTTTAGGAATCTCAAATGGCATAAAAAATAAAATTATTATTGGTCTGGTTTCTATAAAAATTAAGAAATTTAGAATAACAATGATGGAGATTAGTTCAAAAGAATACATAGACTCAAATCCACTTGTAGACCTTATTTGCATCTCAAAGGAAAATCTAAAATAAGTCTAAATTTAAATTCGTGCATCATTTGGAAAAGAATGTATATAAACCTTTGGGTTTATTTTCTTTTTCTTTTTCATTTAACCGACGCGGGCTCGAGTGTACATCCCATCAGAAAACGAGGTGATAATCAAACCCTATCAGGAACGCACCACGTGGCAAGAGAGGTGGGTTGGTGACCGTCGGATGTTGAGGGGAGGCGAGAGAGGGCTTTTATAGCGAGAGAGAAAACCTAACCATAGCGCCGTCTGAGGTGAAGGCTTTGGATTCGTAATCTTTTTATCTTCTTATCCCGAACGCACAAACCCTAGGGAGGCCAAAACCCCCAAATCCCCCAACGCCAAGGTGAAGACTTTCTCACTCGCTCTCTCTTGTCGTCAATCCTTTTATTTTGTTGATGGAATCTGTTTCTGTTTCTGTTTTGTTTACTGGAATAGGTCTTTTGTTTTGATTCCTCTTGTGCTTGTTTGCTGGCTAATCAAGTGATTGAGGATGGTTTATTGAGCAGTGCACCCTTTGTATTGTGTTTGTTTTTGTTTGTAATTTGCTGCTGTTTGCGTCGTTGAAGCTTGTTCGTTGGTGGGTAAAGCTAAATCAATCATTTCTGGTGCAAATTTTGTAGTTTTGGATTTCTAGTTTTGATCGTGTGGGCAGCCAAAAGAGTACGTTTGAAATATTTACTCGGTGGGATTCCGAATGCATCTGCCACAGCTGTGCACTTATTGCACGCATATGTCGTCATTGGTGTCACTGTATAAGTAGAAGCGTCTTCGGGCGAATGGGTGTGATAGTGCCCAATTATGAATTCTGAACGTGAACGGGGTTTTACTTCGACAGTGTCACCAGTATTACTTTGTCAAATTTGGTAGTCTTGTTTGTATTCAGTCGTATAGGTCTATATATATACTTATAAATTCTCTTGCTTTCTTGTCATTGTTGCCTTAAGCCTTTAAACCGCTTGCTTATTCCCATTTCATTATATGTCTCCTAACATGGTTAACTTGTTCTCTCATCTTTTAAAGAAGATAAACTGAACTTTGAAGATTTTTTTTAATGTTTATAGGATTTGGAAGACGTTTTGAACTCAATTATTCAGTGTGCCAAGTTGTATAATTGATGGGTCTTTTCTTTGGTTGCATGTTGTCACCTCATAGAGCGTTTTTATTGAAGTTTCTATAATTCATGCTTATCTTTCTTAATACAATATGAGATTGAAGAAACAAGATAACCGAAAGTGGAAATGAAAAGTTCATTATTTGACACTTGTAAAACAAAAGGCTTTGTGAGCTGGAGGTTTTACTGCTTAAAACTTAGATTAACAATAATGTAATTAAAGATGCAATGTTTTGTCTCTTGAAACTTTTTGTTGCATGTCTCAATTAAAACTCATGACTTCATCTCATTATACACTTACTTTATGCAGATGAATAGGGAGAAGCTTATGAAGATGGCTGGTGCGGTTCGCACTGGTGGAAAGGGCAGCGTGAGGAGGTGAGTTAAACTCTCACTTTGAAATTCTTCTTGTCCACCAATCTAATTCAGAGTCCGAATCTTCAAGTGCTAGCTTTAATGAGTATGTGTTGGATATTCTTGTGGTTGATGATTTATGTGATGCGGTTACCCTGATGGTATGTTCAGTAAATTGTTGTTTTACTATGTTTTGCTTTTCTTAAGAGGATCTTCATCTGGCGTTTGATTGACTTCTTAGTGCAATCACTTTATAATAAAAATTACTGCCTGTTTGGCAATAGTTTCAGTATAAAACATAGTCATCAGTGGTTTAATAGTTTCAGTATAAAACATAGTCATCAGTGGTTTTGTAGTTATCTCGCTTCTGTTGCATTATCTTCCTGTTGTCTGTATGTGATTTCGCTTATTAATTTATGCTCTTAACTTCAGGAAGAAGAAGGCTGTTCACAAGACAACCACCACAGATGACAAAAGGCTTCAGAGCACCCTTAAGAGAATAGGGGTGAATGCTATTCCTGCTATCGAGGAAGTTAACATATTTAAGGATGATGTAGTTATCCAGTTCATAAACCCCAAAGGTGAAGCCAGCCCTACAAAACTCTGGTCCTGTATATTATCAGTTTGTTTCAAGTTTTTTCCCACTAATAGTTGATGATTTTCCTTGTACGTTTCAGTTCAAGCTTCAATTGCTGCCAACACTTGGGTTGTTAGTGGCTCTCCTCAAACAAAGAGTATGCTACTATTTCTTTTGAGTTTTTTTGAGTTTGAAATTTGTTTAGAATATCAGACCATCTGGCAAAACAACACACTGCTTGAGTTTTAAAATATCAAACATATTTACATTCGTGTGTGGCTGTGCGTTGACATCATGATGCATTTGGCTTTTGACGGCCAATTTTGCTGTTGTTTATACCTTTGATTGTCTTTTTTTAGATTTTAGACATATTTTCATGTAACTTGACATATGATCTTTATTGTAGAGTTGCAAGATATTCTTCCCAGTATTATCAGCCACTTGGGTAAGTGTGTTTGCAAACCTTTTTATTTTGTTCTTGCTTATGTGAATCAGTTGACAGTTGTCAAATTCTTTTTCACACCTTTGATTATTTTCAGGGCCAGATAACTTGGACAATTTGAAGAAGTTGGCTGAGCAGTTCCAGAAGCAAGCACCTGGTGCTGGTGGAGCTGCTGCACAAGAGGACGATGATGATGAGGTTCCCGAGCTTGTGGCTGGGGAAACATTTGAAGCCGCTGCAGAGGAGAAGAACAAGGAGGAGAATCAAGCTTCGTAGGGAATTTTAAGGGGATTTTGTGTCATTTTATATACTTTTGATGCTGGGGAAGTTTTTGATTTTGTTTTTACCTTGTCATGTCTGACCATGTTTGATGGATTCTCCTTATGATACATTGGGTAGTAGTCTATCTTTTGGTTAAAATTTAGTTTTACTATTTCTGAATTTTTGGTCGATTATTGTGCTTAATTGTGTTGAAATTGGATGATCCTTGTTAAAATAACGAAATATGCAACACAAAGTCTGTGAGGATGATCAGGATATGCGAAGCTTTCATCAGTAACCAAAAGCACCTTTAGCAGTTTTGCGTCGAACAATTGATGAATCTGCATTCAGCAATGCTTTCATCATTACGCTCTCCGACTTTAGAAGGCAAATAGCACACATCAACAGTTGGGAGTCGTCTATCAGTTGGCAGTTGGAGTGTAGGGCTGGTTTGGTATGTTCGAACCGAAAATTTTGGGGGCGGGAATACGACGACCGATCTCGAACTGAAATTTTGAGATTTCCAAAATCGAACCTGCATTAAAATCAAAATCATCTAGATTGAAATTGAAATCATCTAAACTTGCATTAAAAACTCAAATTGAAATTAAAAGGACAGTGACGGTGAATCGGTGAACATTGATGGTCGAGAGAGATAGAGTGAGGAGATAGTCAAATGGATCTGCATCCTCCTCCTAACCCAAGTCCCCAATTCGAAACCCTAACCTTAATTCAAAACCCCACACACATAGACTGGAGAGAATCGGTGGTGGGGATAAGGATGTGAGATGTGATGGTGGCCAAAGCGGAGAGATTTCTTCGAAGTGAGATTGTGAGAGGGTGGGTGGCTGTTGAGCTTCGAATTCGAGAAGGAGAGACATAGAGAGTATGAGACTGAGTGAACTTAAGGCTTGAAGGTCTGAGCCCTTCAAACAAAGCCAAACTCTTGGTCAAGATCAACGATGTTATCAGTTTAGCTGTTGCCATTCCTGCAACGTGTTTTTTAGCGAGGGATGAGAAGTCGAAGAAAGAAAGAAAGAGAGGTCAGTCGAGAAAGAGAGGTGAGTCACTTGTGTGATGTGGCAGGATTCGAAGACGGCAAATAAGGAGGACGAGAGAAATCGGTGAAGGATGAGAGAATAGGGTGAGGTGAGGTCGAGAGAGAGTGAGTTTTATTTGGATTCAACGGTTGAGATTAAATCTCAACCAAATCTGATGACTGTTACAATCTCAAATATTCGGGATCGGTTCGGGGTAAAATGAGAGAGTGAGGGCTTCATCAGTTCATCCCCACCATCGATGCACTCAGACATGTTTGAGAAAGATTGAGAAGAAAATTTTTGGATCGGTTCAAGATAGGGTGCCGAAATTTTTGAGATTTTTTTTATTTGGTTTAGGAATTTTTTCGGTTCGATTTCGAATTTTGGGTTTCTTTTTTTCCAACCCTAGGAGTGTCTGTGAGTGCATGTGCCCGTATCTTTCCAAATCTTTCATTTTATTCTCCGTGCGAGTACACGTATCATCTCCATCGTCCACCGTGAAAACCGCCCCAAAGGTTCCCAGTATCTCCCTGTCAAAACTTATCAAGACAAACCCTTGTTTCTGTCTCCTCACACGGCAAAGGGTGCGAAAAATCACCGCAAAATCAGATCCAAATTGGTTGTCTACTGAACTCAGGGAATGTTGCAGGCCCACCGGAAAACGAGAAACTTGTATTGTCGCCCAAGTCCACTGCATGTCGTGCCTGCTTGCCTGCCAGTGCCGTGGGTACTACAGTGTCTCAATTTCTTTTTGTAACACTGTTAAACAACATATTCTGGAGTGCCGTGGGTACTCCAGTGTCTCAATTTCCACGACTACATGTATCACAAAGAAATTATTTGTTAGGCTATATTGGATTAATAATCCCCGTGATAACAAGGTAATGATAGTCTCGAAAAAATTCGGATTTAATCCTTATAGTAGATTCCGTTAGAATTCAAGTCCAATTAACATTTCCGTCAATTTTCTGTTAACTCATTCAGCCTTTATAACCAAAAGAAACAAAAAAAAACTCATTCAGGCTTTGAATTCTTTGCTCTATGCTTCGAATCCATTCAAAGCTCTTTTGCCCATAAGAGAAACTAGATTTTTATTTTTTTATTTTATTTATATATATATATATATGCAGCACTAAAAAAAAACTCATTTCGTCAACATTTCTGTTAACCCACCCCGTCTTTTTTCCAGATGGAAGAACTGAAATCCAATCCCAAAACCAACCAGCCAACAAAAACCAATCGATGGTTCGACTAATTCGTTGAGAATCGCACACCTATATATCAAGCAAAACAAAAGCCAAGAAACATGAAAAAAGGAGCATAAATCAATGGTTTGTTTCTGAGATTTGTTTCAGAAATTTGTTTCCGTGATTGTTAAATCCCCCTAATTTCATCTTGGACCTCCTTGTTGAGGATTGCATGTAATCTTTGTTTGGGGTTTGATTGTTTTGTACCGAACTGTTTTGTGTGGTTATGGTTAAGTCACGTTAATATTTTATATTATTATTTATTTTTGTCTTATTATATATATAAAAAAATAATATAAAATATTAACGTGGCTTAATCGTGACTACACAAAACAGGAGGACACTAGAAGTGGAAGGGCAGGCTGGAAGTCTGGAGAGAAAAGGAGAGAGAGAGATGGGATGCAGAGAAGCAGGCGGGCAGAGGCAGAACCCAAGTGGGTGATAAGCTATCCGGGAAAAAGCCAAGGTGGGAGGCGTGTGTGGGAATGTTAACGGAGAGTACAGAAATGTTAATTTTAGATTTGAATTCTAACGGATTTCACCACAAGTGTTTAAATTTGAATTTTTTCACCACAGAATCTATCCTTATATTACTCTATTACCACAAAGGCCATTAATCCAATTTAGCCTTGTAGACATCGAAATTTCAGTAAAAAAAAAAAAAACAAATGTTCACCAATGCATTAAAGTTTTGACGTGTCAAGGCATACATGGCATACGCCACGTGTTGTACAAATTGTACACATGGCGTGTGACTCAACAAAATAGGAAGAAATACCCTTGAAGGATTAAACAAGTTTTTCTTCTCATTTTGGGCAATGACAAGACAAGTACATTTCAATCCATTGAGGATCAAAACAAGTTTTTCTTCTCATGTTGGGCAATGACAAGGCAAACAAACTTCAATCCATTACGGATCAAAGCAAGTTTTTCTCATTTGGGCAATGACAAAGCATACACATTTCAAGTTTAAAATGGTGTTAAGTGGGAAATTAGGCCATAAGTTACACCACTTCAAGTTTAAAATGGTATTAAGTGGGAAATTAGGCCATAAGTTACACCACTTCAATTTCAATATTGCATTAAGTGGGAAAATTAGGCAATGGTGCTTGGAAAGGAAAAAAATATTTTGTGGTGGTGATTCATTCTCAAAGCCTATAAATAGGCTTCTCCATCAAGGTATCAAGCATCAACCAATTCACAAATACATTTCTCCACACACCAAAACCTTGAAGCCTTAGAGTTCTAAAGCTCTCAAGAAAATCCCGAAGGATCAAGAAAGCACTCTTCGTTCTTCGTCAAATCCTCCCTCAAGATCAAGCCCCAACGGCCCTTGAAGAACTTCCACCAACTCAAGATCAAGCCCCGACGGCCCTTGAAGAAAGTGTTCATCCGTTCATCCCAAGATCAAGCCCCAACGGCCCTTGAAGAACTTCCACCAACTCAAGATCAAGCCCCAACGGCCCTTGAAGAACTTCCACCAACTCAAGATCAAGCCCCGACGGCCCTTTGGATCAACAACCTCAACAAATCCACACATCCAATCGTTCTTCAAGATTAAGCCCAAAAGCCCTTGAAGATCCACTCATCCATCAACCTTCAAGATCAAGCCCAAAAGCCCTTGAAGAAATCCACACAATCATTATTCAAGATCAAGCCCCGACGGCCCTTGAAGAAAGTGTTCATCCGTTCATCAACTGTTCATCCTTAAATCAAGCCCCGACGGCCCTTTGGATCAACAACTCATCCACAAACCTATACCCTACGAAGATAGAATCAGATGACCAAATTTGAGAGAGATCGTAACCCCAAAATCATTAAACCCAAAAATATTATTTTGTACACGTTATTCTTGTTTCTTGTTTCAAGGAACTTTCGTGTTCACAAGCCTATTTGTTATGATAGTCATCGATTTGTTCAGCACATGTAGATGGCTAAATAATATTCAAATAATTTAAGATGTGATATTTAGATGACGGCGAAAGAGAACTAACAGCATCAGTTATGACGTTTGTATGGTGAATTAATGTCGTATATGGTACGCGGACAGCTAATCCCCAATGTTTTAAAACAAATGCTTCATAGAAAATTAAGCAACCCCAACCAGTTCGAAGAACAGCGCATGAAATTGACATTATTGATATTAGAAACCCAAGCAAAAAAAGGGTAAAACTAAAACCTTGAGGAAAATAAAAACACATGTAGAAGCTAATTACCGGAGATGAGCTAGCTCTCGTTAATTTGCTCATCTCCAAATTACAAAACACGTCTTGCTAATTGCTAATGTGCTGCCTGCATTTTCTAGTTGTGGGACTGGTTGTGGTTGGCAATGGAAAGGGCCTTGTGAAGATTTCTGAAAGCTTTCTCGTAGCGCAAGAATCCCATGAACCAGAAGTCGAAATCATCGTGGGTAACTATTTCAATGTACTTCTGTTGTGGTTTGTTGACATTCTCGCTTTGGTTCGCTGTTTTGATCTTCCTTATTGGTATCTGAACTTTGTAATGCGTTCTGAGGAGTTGCAGTTGTCCAGCAGCAGCAGGAGCAGAAGGAGAAGAAGGGAGAGTGATGGGTCTTTCGCTGCAAAAAGCAAGCTTTTGGGTAGAAATGAAAAGGAGGCCAGGAATGGGACCGGCGGTGGTAGATAGGTAGCATTGGGAGGCCTTCAAAAGCTCTTCTCCTTGGCTGACACCGAATATCTGTTTAAAAATATTGGCCCTCCCACCCTCTTGAATGATTCTTGCCCCCAAACTCAACTTGCCCTTCACTGTTTCTGACAGCTTGTGCCCGAGTTTCACTGCAATTCGAATTCCAATTTATTCACATATGCAAGTATAAATAAATAAATAAATATATATATATATATATATCATCTATGATTGATTCTATAGCTTAATTAGGTTGTATTAGGAGGACAGGAAGAGTAGATGAATTAATAAGACCGACTGACTCTCACCGTGGTCGCGTATCCTGTATGCGAAACTGCTACTTTTCTTCCCTAATTTTTTGTTGAGGCCTTTCCTCGAATCATCTCCATCTGTACTCGCAAAAATATATACATTAACTGCAGTTGCAAAACAAGCACACACACAGTAGAGAGGCGAAGAGAGAGGGGGACGCACAGGTGGAGGTGGTGTTGAAGGAGGAAGATGAGTGTGCAGAAGGACTATGGCATAAGCTGATAGGTTCAGATAGAGAAGATGCCTGCCTTTGCCTTTCTGGTGTTGTATCACTATCATAATCATATGAGTGCATCATGTACGGACTGCTACTGGCAACAAATTGATCTGCAAATTTCTCATTCATTTCCACTTTCTAAACTTTCTTAACTCTGAAAGATGTTGTAAGCGTGTATAGATCTGCCTCCTCTCCTTAAAAGATGGTGCTTCATGTGCTAATTTATCAGTGTCTTTATAATTGTATCTGGCAATTCAATAGCATCAATATTATATTATATTAGAATAGAAGAATTGCACTTGTTATATTATATTATATTCAAGCATCAAGCACCCACCACAAGGAAGTTTCAAAGATTCTGCTCATACATAATATTATATGGCGTTGTTGACTACATATCGAAGAACCTTGTAACCCTATTTTGAATGAAACATCCTTCTAGAACACGTCGCAATTTCATGGCAATTGCCAGTTGCCTGCCTAGGCCCAGGCCCATCTTGGAAAATGGCAAAAGGAAAAACTAGTATCGCTTGGAAACCTTCAAATTCCAACGCAATAAAGTCAACAAAGGGTGGCTGTGGCTCAAGGTCAAGACAAAGGACATTCAACTCAATTCAACAACAAGACAATTTGGATAAACCCCTAAAAGGAGGAGGAGGGCTATTCCTTGCCCTTTTCCATTAGGTTTGTTACTTGTCTAGTTGTGTACTTGTGTGTCTTTGTCTAGGTTTCACAACAAACTAATTATAAATTACAATAAAGAGAGTGTATGCTGCTGTCTGTGCTGTGCTACAACTGCCTCCACCATATCCATGTGAGTCCAAGACTGCCCTTAACACCAGACTGCCTGTTCGGAATAGGGTGGTGGAAGGAGGATGAGGTAATTCGCTTGGCACCATTTCATTGGAGTTTTTGAGAGTTTATTAGTGATTTGATTGGAAGGAATTTAATTTAATTTAATTTCCTAATGACAGACTAACCATGCCAGCTTTGTCTATTCAATAGCCAATATTCCTCCACCCTCCTATCGTCCTTGCCCAATGGCCATCCCGACGGGATAAGATAAGGACCCTCACCTAACACGACAATGGCAATGGCAATGGCACTGCCATCCTTTTTCTTTTTCTTTTTTGTTTCTTTTCAACAAACAATATTATCTACACTAATGTTAGTGGGGGAGTGGTAAGTCTCACAGTGGCTAGCAATATGGTTCAAATCCTCCTTGACAAGAATCTAACCTAATACCTCACATTTACAAGTAAAACGGAATACTATTTGACCGGAATACTATTTGACCATAGTACTAAGTGACAATTTCATCCTCTTATTTACAAAAACAATAATTTTTTTTTCAAATTAGGATAACTCTTAAACTAAGCAAATGAGGTTTCTTAATCCAAAATGGATTATTCATAACATCACCAGATCTTTTGTCAATGATGTGATTTTGACGCCTCTACCCAAAATGCTCATCGTTTCTTTTAAATTACCAAATTAAACAAAAGGATTCAACCTGTTAAACATTTTGAACAACACAACAAGGTTAGGACAAAAATAAAAATAAAAAAGACAAATATGTATATCAAGATGCACATTAATTTGACAAGTGGAAGCCAGACAGCCAACATATAGTCCTAAAACAAAGCAGCACCAGCAGCCAACAGAGAGGAATCATGTCATATTATAGTTGGAGAAGACAAGCTCATGTTAGAAAAATTGTCACCAAAAAATTTCATTCCCAATAATGTGACAAGCGTAGAAAGGTAAATGTAAAATTTGTTGCCCCACGTAAGGAAATAAATATACAAAATAATCTAACCAATGCCAACTTCGTGTACAAGCAAAATGATCATGATGCATGGAAAGGGATCCTCATGATCCCTTCTATTTAATGCTCCTCATCAAACGATTCGAACCTTTGAAATTTGATCAAACGGCTAAAGTTATTATAACTTCTAGATTAGGCCTATGTTTGTAATCATTGTATTAAATTTTAAAGGTCCAGATTGTTTAATAATAAGGATTAGATGAAAGGGATCCAGAAAAAATCCCTTTCCATGATGGATTGGGTCCATTAGGTAGGGTCCAGGGTGGTCCATGATACACTAGAAGCCAAAAAAACAGCTTGGAAATGTCCTTAAGAGATCCTTCGAATGTCTCGTAGGGGACCCAAGAGTGCCCACCAATATTTGGTAAAATGCTCACTCGATGGATCACTCGGCAGCAAGCATCTACAAAACTCGGTAGGATTCGCTTGGCATTTGTTGACATGCTCCCTAAAAAGCTTTGCAGCATAGCTGGTCATATGACTACATGTCAAATAATTGTTTGAGTGTTGTGCGCGCTGTTTCCATTTAAATTTTTTTTGAATCTTTTATATTAAGTTGAGAGTTGAGACCCCAAAATTAGAAGTCCATAACTGTCACTGCGTGTTTGCGATCTTGCAGACGATGTATGATCTGTTTCTCAATCTCACTGGTTGGATTTATTTTTCTTTTTTAATCGGTACACTCATGTGTATGGTATACCGCGCCCAACTAGGATCTTTTCCTAAACTATTCTCTATTCCTAAGTATAATGACATGGACCCGTAATTTTAGCCACATAATTTTATTTGTAGAACCAAAACTAAATAAAGCGGCACTTGTTAGACAAATAAGGAATATGGTTGGAGTCCTTGTGTAATTGTATATAATATTATTATTGGAAGAATAAGCCGTCCTACAGCCGTCAAGCCGTCAAGCCGTCAAGCCGTCCTACAGCCGTCAAGCCGTTCTACAGCCGTCCTACCTTGTCCTACCTACACACTAGCCGTCCTACCTACACACTAGGACGGCTACCTTGTCCTCTACAACCGTCCTACCTTGTCCTACCTACACACTAGGACGGCTACCTTGTCCTACCTACACATTTGTATCATGTATATATATCCTTGTAATCTTGTAGAGAAAAATAATGAAAAAATAAGCATTCTCTTCCATTTGCATTCTCTTCCATAAGCATTCTCTTCCATTTGCATTCTCTTCCATTTTTCCACATTCATGTATCAATAACAAATATAATTTTTAGCCTACATACCTTTTTCTATAGCACTCTGGGTCTGGGTGGCCATATCTGCCAATTATTTCGTGTTGTTTGCTAATCTGTCTAGTATTCAACACTTAGGAATAACAATGGTTCAATTTGAGAACGAAAAATGCTATATTCATCTTCACAACTACGGAAATTAATCATATTTATCCGCAAATTAACGATTAGGGATTATTCATAACAATACTCATTGGGTAATGGATTTCCCATCAATTAACGGTTATATCCATCTTTTTCAATACAAAAATATATTCATTCCATTGATGCATAATAAATTAGTAGATATTAATTTCGTCATTAAACAGTTAATGTATAAAATGATTCAATGAACAAATCTTGTGGAGTATAAAAATTAAAATATTGAATTTAAATCATTACTGATGTCGGTTGATAATTTATATCTCTGATAAGAACCATTAAATTTTCTTTGATTTTGATTCAAAACTTTTGAACTTTCTCATAAACTACTCAAACAATGCAACTTTTGTATTCTCAAGTAATGTGTTCAATGAATAATGAATACATACATACATATATATATATATATATATATATATTATCGTTCGATTATATTATGTAAGGTTTTTAGCATAAATGATTCTTGAAATTGATTTATCCTATTAAGATAGTCATTGAAATTGAAATATAATCCCTGAAAATGAATGTCACAAATCAAGTCTTTTTGTCACATATCTGTCAAAATTTTTGTTATCTGCTGATGTGACACATAACTAGGTCTTACAAGTTTATTTAAATTTGTCATGGATTAAAAATGTTAAAATAATTAAAAAAATTATTTTATATGATTAAAAAACCTAAAAAGGAAAAAAAGAAAAAAGAAGGAGAAGATGCATTATCTTCTTCCCGAACTGAATTTGCAGCCCGTGAATCCCAGAATATCAGAGCTTATATTCTGCAAAGGTGTATGAGCTATAGAAAAATTAAACAAGAAAAAAGATAAATATATTAATAGATTAATTCTAAGGATAAGAAGAAAACAAGATGGAGATGATCCCCACCCTTTCATCCCCGGCTCTGACTACTCCGGCAGTTTAATTTGAAACAAGGGATTATGTCAAACGGCAGTTTAAAACATGAGTGCCTGTGCTTAATTTGAAAAAAGGAAAGGGGATTTTTAACTCTTCTGTTATAATTTCCCTTGGTTTCCTATTATTATTATTATTATTATTATTAACCTTTGGGGCATGTTTTAAAGAGAGTTTTATAAAATTCAAGGGATTTATGTCAAGCTATAAAAAACTGAACTACAAATGTAGCATAGAGACGTTAAATAAAGAGGGTATTATTCACACCCTTTTTACCTCTCACCCCTCATTCAATCTTTGTTAATTTTTATCATTTGATTTTCTTCAATTCATTCAATTTGACAATTGAAAATTGTGAAGAATGTAGAAGATAAAAAAATGTGTGTGAAGAGCACCATCCTTAGAAAAACCATCCATGAGCATTACAAAAGTATGTCGGTGAGATTTGCAAAACTCTTATTGGGAGGTGTTATTTACAAAACCCTTCCATATGCTTTAAAAAAAAAAAAAAACTAATTTGCTTTAAGAATAAACAGTTGTAAAATAAAGTTGTTAATTTTTTTTTTGTAAAGTTAACTTTTATATAAAACTGATGTAAATATATTAAATGATTAAAAATGATATGGTATTAAATGTAATAATTGCCAAAGAAAATAATGTCAGGCCAAAAATTGTAATTTTGTAAAATATTTTGTAAAATATGCGGGGGTATACTTGCTATTTGAAAATGCTGTTCACTATGCTCTAAAGAAACATGTTTTTAGAAGCATGGTAAACTCTGATTCTGCTTTTCTACTGTCATTGACAGCATTTGATGTTCCAAATTTTTTTAATAAGCTACCTTTTATAAAAGTACTACAACTCTAAATCAGCCCTAAATAATTTACAAGCAGTTGTGGTATGATGAAATAAGAAAGAAAAATACTAAGAAGACTCTCTATAGATTAGAGTCCTACTTTAAAAAGTTTCCTTGACATTTCTAAGTTAGAAATTTATGAGTTTGATGTCCATGTCCTATTCCTTGATGAAAGTTTATATATATATATATATAGATTTAATTTGGAACAAACAATATTATCTACATTAAAGAGGAAGAAGATGAGGTAGCAATAATGTGATTTAAATGTGTCTTTGACTAGAATCAAACCTAAGACATCTTATTTATAAATGAAGAAGAATATTATTAGATCGTAATTCTAAATAGGTAGTTTTGAAAGTTGAAGCTTTGAAAACCGTGTCCATATGATAGATGAGGACGTAGATTTTGAGGTGTTGGTGGTTCAACTTGCTCGCTAATCCCTTTCCTTTCCCACCTCTAAGGCTGGTATTTATTTAATACTTGATAATTAATTACAGAGAATGTATTAATGTATGATGTATTCAGGATAGGAATGATTAGTATTATAAGGCCTCGATTGGTAGCTCGGACTGTACTGACTATTTCTGTCGGATAGGATAAATAGCCACCGGATAGTACTGACTAAATTAGTCGGGCGTTTGGTGCAGTATCAGACTAATGACCGTATTATTTATACTGTGTCTGGTTTTATACCGGATAGGAGGAATCAAACTTAAAATTAAATTAAACTTAAAAAAAAAAAAAAAAAAAAAACAGAAACCATCACTTTTGTTCCCAGATCTCTCCGCTACACCCCTCAAACTCCCTCCCTCTCTCTCTCCTTTCTTCTTCTTCCCCGACTGCAGAAGAATCCGAAATAAATTCAAATAGCTAATCGCGGAAGAATCCCAAATTGAAATCATCTCTCTGCCACACCATGTTTATTTGCAAGACCCAGTTGCAGGGGAGGACGGTGAGTAGGTGATGAGGAAGGCCACAAAGAGACGACGACGAGGAAGGCGACAAGGACTAGGAGAGCAGAGATGGCGAGAGAAAGCGATGATGATAGAAAACGACGGTGAGAGAAAGCGACGAGGAGGACCGCGATGGTAAGAGAAGGTGACGGGGAGGACGACGATGCTGAGAAAAGGCGAGAGAGAAGGGTCGACTAATAATCTGAGTCTTTTGGTTGGTTTTATTAATCCGGCGTATACCGTGTTAAATAAGCAGACCGGTTAAATTAATCCGGCGCTTATTTAGTACGCGTGAACGCCAAACACCTGTGTCTGTATAACTAGTCATATCCGATCCTTTATCCAATCTGCCAAACAGGGCCTAAGTTGACCTGAGGTGGCCAGTAACCCCTGGTTCCCTACTAAAAGGGAAGCCTCGCAGTTTCTTTCTCAACCCAAGTAGAAAGAGAAGAGATTATCTTCGAATTTCTTCTACTAAAATTTGCAGATTAAATTATTCAGACTTTTGAAATTTGATTAAATGTTAAAAATAGAGACCATTTTTAAAGGTTATAATAATTTTAACCGTTAGATCAAATTTTAAAAATTCGAATCACTCGATCAGTATATTTTAGTAAAAAAGATCAAGAGAAAATCTTTTTGCTGGAGAAAAATCCGAATGATGGGGTCACTCTCGCTGCACGCCTAACCTGTAACTCGTCCACCTGTCAAGTGAGACTGTAGCTTAATCTGTATATTTCGACATTTCTATCTCTTCCGCACTCCACGACCACACACACACGAGTCACAGACGTATCCATGTCTCTTTCGTTTCCTTGGAAAAACCATTCCCTTTCTTTTACTCTGTTTTTCACTCCTCCTTTTTAACTTTTCTTTGAATATCATAAAATTTCAGTCCTTTATTTCTTTTTAAATTGCAGGCTCCTCCTTTCATGGACTCTCTCAGTAGTCAGTAGTATTATATATTCCACACTACTAGTACTACAACCACCACGGGCGGGCGGGCAGGCGGGCAGGATTCCAATACATAACAATTGTACAATAGTATTAGTATAGTAAGATGGGGGTTCTAGACACTCAGAGGCCGTATCAACTTGAAGAAGATGATAACGACCGTCATCATCATAACATAAATTCATCACCATCATCAGGAGATGCGGAGCTGGATTCCCAGCACCAGACTATGACAACGAACAAGAAGAAGAACAAGTACGTGGTGGTGGAAGACGATGACGATGACACGGCAAAGGAAGAATTACTGTCGGTGGAGAAGTTGTTCGAGAACCAACCAGTGCCGTCATGGCGGGAGCAGCTCACGTTCAGAGCCTTCTTCATAAGCTTCGTCCTCAGCATCCTCTTCAGCGTCATCGTCATGAAGCTCAACCTCACCACCGGTATTATCCCCTCTCTCAACGTCTCTGCGGGTCTCTTGGGCTTCTTCTTTGTCAGGACTTGGACCAAGTTCCTCGACAGGTGCGGCCTCCTCAACCAGCCCTTCACCAGGCAGGAGAACACCGTCATCCAGACCTGCGTCGTTGCCTCCTCCGGGATCGCCTTCAGCGGTGCGCTATTCTTTCATTATTCTTAATTTGCTAGTTAATTCTCTCATCAGATTAATATTCAATTCAGAACTAGATCCTCTGCCATCCATCCATCCGTCCGTCCATCTTAAGGATGAGATGAGACCGAGAGAAACTACCGTGCCCAACATCTTAAACTAATACTTCCATTATTTTGTTGATTTTCAATTATATATTTGCTTCTTTGACTGTCATGCTGGCTAATCTTCTTGGAAGAACCTGAGTGTTTTTTCTATTAGGAAACAGGAAAATTATTAAAACGAACCAGACAACCATGTTCATGACATAAGTACATCCCTGATATATAAACAGAGTACAAGTATTTGTTTCATTTGTTTTTCTTTTTTCTTTCGGGGATTAAGCAGTTTGGGCGTCATAAGTTTACTTGATTACTATTTGATGTATATGTAGTTAAATAGTAAGACCTTTTTTACCAGAAGAGATCAAGAAAAAGGGGGAATCTGATTAGTTGTCAAAGGTTAGGCAACTCAACCCCATGAGGATACACAGGCGAAGATTTTCAAACAGATCAGCTAGTTGTTCTTTATACTGGTGGCTGTGTCAGGGGTTTGTTGAGATTGGTCATGGAGATTGTTTACCTATATTTGACGCCACACCCCGAGTCTTGTAAATCTTCTCTTTTTAATAAGATTATATCGTTTCTTCTAAAAAATAATGAAGAGCTAGCTAATAAGCCACTGTTAAAACTGGATCCATCCTGCTAGAGGACTGAAAATCTTCCATTGTTGAATTCAGTGTGCTGCCAGTATTAAGGGATGCTACAACTTTGCGCTGTGGCCAGAAAGGTTGGACACAGAGGAGTCATGGATTGTGTGGCTGTGTTGCGTACTAGGATGCATCCTGCTATATATTCCTAGTGTTAAATTCCTTCCGGTTGATTATGTATTGATATGTTATGTACAAACTGACCACAGGAGGGTTTGGGAGCTATCTGTTTGGAATGAGTGAACGCATTGCCCAGCAATCCAAAGACAGCAGTGACACAAAAGATCCAGGATTACTCTGGATCATTGGCTTTCTCTTTGTTGTTAGCTTTCTGGGCCTCTTCTCAGTCGTTCCTCTCCGAAAGGTACACTAGCTACTAGACACACACACACGCACACCCACCCACTCAATGCATTCCATTTCCTGTCATAAGAAAGAATCCATTATGTATGGTTCGCAAATAGAGAAAGGGGCATTGCCGGGCGGTGTATATCAAAGTTTAATGTATACATGTTCATTGACATATATGGTTGGTAATTTCAGATCATGATCATAGACTTCAAATTGACATATCCAAGTGGCACTGCAACTGCTCACCTTATCAACAGTTTCCACACTCCCGAAGGAGTCAAGCTAGCCAAGTAAGGCACCATCAAACCTCATTCCTATATACACACCCGTACATTTTATGACTAATACATACGTCTTCAAAATCAACATAACATTAGGTGAAAGTTGTGTCTCTCTAAATTCTAATGACTATTCTACTCTTTTAATTAGGAAACAAGTAAGGGAGTTGGGCAAGTTCTTCTCCTTCAGCTTTTTGTGGGGTTTCTTTCAGTGGTTCTATACTGCCGGAGACAATTGTGGATTTGCAAGCTTCCCTTCACTCGGCCTCAAAGCATATCAGAACAAGTAATACTTATATACCACCCCTGCCCCATCCTTAATTGGTTTTCTTATTTGCGTGCGATGATATGAATAAATGTTCAGTTCTGGTTATTAATCATATGTGCTCCTGAATTGGAATTGAATTCGCAGGTTCTTCTTTGATTTCTCGGCAACATATGTTGGAGTGGGGATGATTTGCCCCCACATTGTGAACATATCAGTTCTTCTTGGAGGCATTCTTTCCTGGGGATTAATGTGGCCTCTCATAGAAACCAGGAGTGGTGATTGGTACGATAAAGAGCTCAGCCCAAAAAGCATGAATGGCCTTCAAGGTTACAAGGTGATCAATCTTCCAGCTCAAGAAAAAACCTTAATTAATAATAATATTCTTCCAATGCATATATGTAAGGATGTGTGTCAATGGAACTTATCATGTACTTGTTTAAATAGGTCTTCATTGCCATTGCCCTGATCCTTGGTGATGGGCTATACAACTTTGTGAAGGTGCTAAGTCGAACCCTCGTTGCTTTGCAATCTCAACTCCGAAGCAAAGATGCGAGCGGCATCCTCCCTGTTAAGAAACATCATGGCTCTCCAGATGTGAGCTCAGAGCTATCTTATGATGACCAGCGGCGGACCCAGCTGTTTCTTAAAGACCAAATCCCAGCGTGGATAGCTGTTGGAGGGTATGTTGTGTTTGCTGCAATCTCAATTGCCACTGTGCCGCACATATTTCCCCAACTCAAGTGGTACCATATATTGGTTATCTACCTCTTTGCACCCACGTTGGCTTTCTGTAATGCATACGGTTGTGGCCTCACTGACTGGTCCTTGGCATCCACTTACGGTACGGTGGCCATCTTCACGATTGGGGCATGGGCCGGTTCTGCACATGGTAGTGTTCTTGCTGGACTAGCAGCATGTGGAGTTATGATGAACATTGTGTCGACAGCCTCTGATCTAACCCAGGATTTCAAGACCGGCTACCTAACCTTGGCTTCCCCCCAGTCCATGTTTGTGAGCCAAGTCGTTGGGACAGCAATGGGTTGTGTAGTTTCTCCTTGTGTGTTTTGGCTCTTCTTCAAGGCCTTCAGTGACCTCGGAATACCTGAAAGTGCGTATCCAGCTCCGTATGCTGCTGTGTTCCGTAACATGGCTATCTTGGGGGTAGAAGGTGTAAAATCTCTACCCAAGAACTGTCTCATGCTTTGTGGCATCTTCTTTGGGGCGGCCATTGCCATAAACGTGCTCAAGGATTGCCTTGGTAAAAAGAGGGGACGCTTTGTTCCACTACCAATGGCAATGGCAATCCCTTTCTATATAGGGTCGTATTTTGCGATCGACATGTGCATTGGGAGCTTGATAGTGTATTTGTGGGGAAGGGTAAACAAAGCCAAGGCAGACGCTTTTGTCCCTGCCGTAGCTTCAGGTTTGATTTGCGGGGACGGCACTTGGACTCTGCCCGCTTCAATACTCGCTCTTGCCGGGGTTCAGCCGCCAATTTGCATGAAGTTTTTGTCAAGCTCGCAAAACACTAGAGTTGATGCATTCATAGCTGGTAAAGCTCACTAATTAAGTTCATCGCCATCCCCAGCCTCCCCCTATGCATGATATCATATGTGTATGTATATATACGAATCATCTGTACAAGTCTTTGGAAGGAAGGTTTGCGTCGAATTTGCTTATGGAACAATCAAATATTATCTCCTAACTATCTAAAAACTTAATCCTGGTTGGTGGACCACATATATAGCGCCGCTGCGACAATTCTCGTCAACTGGTAAATGTGCACCATGGATCAACTCATTTTTTTTTATACTAAATATATTTGTAGCTCAGTAAATGGTAAAAACCGCTTTCAAATGCCTTGTACAGTTTACTTTAATGCTCAACTTATGATTACATGGAGCAATGATCCCTTAATTTTAGTTCCTGAACCACAACTCGGAATTGGACCCACGTCCAGAAGCCGATGCTTCAACTTTTCTCCAATACAAGGCAAGGCCTATCCAAATCATCAAGAACACTTTTACTTAAATGTCACGACGCTACAACCGAACAATAATGTTTGATGTGAGTGAAAATAGCAATACATGGCAATGTGTCAATTTGTGAGATCACTGACCTCAAGCAGCCCAATCTTCATCACTAAGATCCGTATCCTACACAAAGCATAAACTCAAGAAATCATTATTTTCCACAGTAATTAAGGCCTATTTCCAGTCAACAAGGAAATGTTATTACTAGAGCACTGCATCCAAAATCATTATCAGTTTAAAAAAAATCATGGCAATTTCGATGATCAGCGCCCAAAATACCAAGGCACCAGATATGCCATCACCAATCACGCATCTTAATTTCAAGGAATTGCACCAAAAAAATCAAAAAATCCATATCCATAACACTATTTAAAATTTTAAATAAAAGTAGGAATTACCTGCGATTGTGAGGTGCTTTCTTCAATATCATCCTCTTCAACCTACATGTTTATGCACACCTCAACACTTCAGAAAGTAGAATGTAATAATTACTTAAACAACAATCTTACGACATAAAAGGTAATCGAGCATTAACAAGTTAAGAGAGCAAATCTCTAGTATTGTAATTGGATAATCATGTTTTTCAAAAAGATCATAATGTTTAAGTGACCAGGTCCTTGCCCAGCTTATACAAAAGGGAGCAAAGTTTTTTAAGTTGGATACTAAACAGGCCCCCAAAATATATAATATATTTTACCAAATTAAAGCGCATCAAACATGCTTCTATATAAGATAAGATAATGCTCTAAAAAACTCCTTTCTGGCTGGTTAGATTGCATTGGAAGAGCACTATCCACCTCATCATGGCTAGAGATGCCCTCTGATAAACCACTTCCCTCTTCTTTTCAATCTTTCCATCTCCACCCCCATCTCAAAAGGAAGCACAAAAATACACAATCTTATTATTACACTGAGAAATACATTTTAATTTAGAGTAAAAGCTTTGATAACAATTATTAACTAAAAATCCACACAAAATAAAAGGGAAACAATAATGGCCATCGTACAAAAAGAATCACCCCAGACACAAACGTACCTCATTTTTTTTCTTCTTTGCCAGGCTTTTGCCTCCTACAGAAACACAGACGTCACTTATAAGTGCTAACTTTCCCACACGTAGATGCATGCATAAGAGAAACTGTTATGAAGAAGAATTTTCAAACAAATAATAAAAATAGAAAAAGGTAACTATCTGGGAGATGTATAATAATAAAATAAAAAAAAGTTGCAATTCCATAAATATTTAATAAACTAGATCAAATTATACACTCAAAACCATATCACATCCGATGCCACTCTAATCTGACATAGTGTTGCTAACGAGCAAACAATGATGAAGATGTGAGCAGAGAGGCCTGAAGGAAACAACAGCTGTTTAACTCAACCTTTATCACCGCTCACATTATCATGAGAACTCCCAACTAATGAAAACAATTACTCCTGTATGCAGCACTGAACAAGGTGAAGTTGTAGTTTTGGGCAGCACTCAACAACCCCACCATCACTAAAAGTTAATTGAGCAATAAAAGACGGAAAAAGATCATGCACCTCATCAGATAACAAACAGTTACTATTCCCAGATAGGACGTCAAGAACTCCGCATTTCATAAGTTCATAAACACACAATCGGTAGACTAAACTGCAATCTATACCACTCTTACCAAACCTGACTAAAATGGTTATATGAATCTCCCTCCTCCTAACTCCTAAGCATACTGATAAGTTCATAAACATGTAATCACCTCTTCATCAAATAATTTATCTCCTCAAGTATACTGACAAGTTTATATTTATTAGCTACCATAATGTGCACACAGAGAGAGAGAGAGAGAGAGAGAGAGAGAGAGAGAGACCCGCATCCTTTTCCTTGGCAGTTTTTGCCTTTTTCCTGGGTCCTGCATCCTGCAACAACAACAAACTATGTCAGCTACAACACTCTGATGGAAAGCAGTCATGTCCAAGACAAGGATAAAATCAGCTAGAATTGTAGTTTGAAAGGGCAGGGAGAAGGGGGAAGGAGCATTAAGAACAAAATGTAACCAGATTAACCTTCTTCCTTGAATCCGTTTGGTGCGGCTTCTGGCCAGAATCTGGAAAACATCAACATCACTCACTATTCTGAGTACTCAAATCCCAATATTTTCATAAAAGCGTAATTTGGAAGAATTAACAACCTTTGGGAGATGCAGGTTTCCTTGGGCCTTTTGGTGTTTTATGAACCTGTGAAGAGGGAAGCTGTACTTGACTTTGCATGCTGGAGTCCACTTTCTGCAACACATTGAAAAATTTCAGAGCATTGTAAGCATTAAGAGGAAAAAGAAGGAAAATTCTGATAAAGGGAAGGAAAATGGCAATGCATGATGCAATGTTCTCTTTTTGACATGCCAAGAATCATCAAGTCCACTCTGATTAGCTGTTTCATTTTGGTTTTCAGTTACATGCTTCATGGTAGTCTGAAACATACCCTAGCTACATAACAAGTACTGGCAAATCATAATCTTAAGCATAAAAGTGTAAAAAAAAAAAAAAAAAGGGTTACCTTCTTCTCCACTTTCTTAAACAATGTAGATATAGTAGTTTGAATGAGCGAACCATGATTGCTATGAGAGTCCTCTTTAGATGTAGTCCCAGCAAAGGCAGAATGTGACTCTTTCTTTGATTTAGCTTCGGACAGAGAGGAATCTTCATTTTGCTTGGGAGTTTGAGCTCCTTTCATAGGATCCTCATTATCAATGTCTGCATCTCCAAAGCTGAGATTGTCAGTCTGTATCTACCAGTTAAGGGAATCAGTTGAAATATAGCAAGCTGAGATGGAAGTTTGATACAAGGAGCATGGTAAACCTAAGTTCAAATTACGATATATAAATTAAAATGCTGGAGTTTACAAAATTAAGACAGTAAAAATTAGGATATTTCCACTACTGTGCTTCCCGGATGAAGAATCAAGTCTTCCAACTTTTTTATCTTCTCCTTCAGCTGAGGGGGTATCACTTTCAACAGAATCATCTCCAGAAGAAGCTTCTCCAAACCTGAACAAAGTGACAGAACAAGAGTTGAAGCAAGATATGGGCACATCACAGGGCAGTAGGTGCTCATTTCTTTTATTAATATTCAATAAAAAGAAAAATATCAAAATGGTTACTTATATATGCTACGTAAGTATGTAACAGAAGGTATCACAAAATATCATGAAGACAATTGTCTAATAGTTTACACAGTATTCATAGAGACTACACAACATTCCATGATAGACCATCGGCTGAAAAGTAAAGAACGCATTCATGTCTTCCACAAGCTACATGTGAAAGGACATTGGACATAAGGGCCTTTTGTAACTATTTGCAACATGTTTAATTGTTTTCTTTTTTCCTTGGAATGATAAAACTATACTACTCAGAGGAATGTTAATTAGAAAGGCCTGAAAAGGAAAATATGGACATGTTGCTCAAATGAAAAATAAAATGTTGGTTTCATTACTATCCTTCAGAGATGGCCTCAGCACATGATAAGGTATGTCTGTGTGTCTGTTTTCCTGTACAAATATGTATACCTATATATGTATCATAGGTTGCACACTTTGTTTTGCACGTATTTAACTTATGCAACTGCTGATTTCTTTATGAGAATATCTAATGAGTACAATAAAAGGCAATGCCAGTACTTGAACTTTTTTCCTGCAGTTCTTGCTGAATGTCGAACTGCCGTTGCCTTCATTAATTCATTGTTTTCCTCATCTGATAAATTATCTTCAACCTTGTTATGTGGGGAATACTCTTCAACATATGTAGTTTCATTTTTACTATCACTTTGCTTTTTGGCAGATGTTGAACCTGCACCACCTTGAAAGTCGAACTCAGAGTGTTGTCCCTGAAACCAACAAATTCCGAGAGTCGATCATCAGAAAACAACGATATGCACACCCTACAACATGTATAACCTAAGTGAATAGAAACCAACCTCAGTCAATTCCTTAGGAAAATCAAGTTGGGCTTCCTCGGGATTCTGATCTTTTGTCCCAATCCACCAAGCATCGGAAAATACAATCTGGGACATGAAAAGCTACTGCTGATAAACCTGATATAGATGTGTAAAACATGCTTTCTGAACCTCAGTTTCATACAACAAGCACCCGACCTTAGACAAACAATAATATAAGTGTATATAACGGGGTAGTGGCACATGGGAAATCCTGAGAACTGAGAAGCTTAGAAACATATTGTTCTCCAAATCAAAGGAGAGGAAATTTGTTGGAAAGGGGTCCTTAAAGGAATTACAAAACAAGAAGATTCCAGGTGGAAGTTGTATAAGACAATAACTCTAAAATCATTATGTACACATTTGCCTTAGGAGTTACAACGTTTAGAATACAAGTTTTCAAGCATATCAGCTTTGCAATCTGCTGCCTCATTCTCTACCAACAAATGGCTGATATGAAACTATCAACTCCCATTAACCCTCTTTTTTCTCTTTCTTATTTCTAGAAATTTGAAAAAATTGAAATGATTATATCGTCAACCATGCAAGCAGGTCAATCCTCCTTGGTCAAATTCATAAGATATTTTATAGTAATTGCATTGGTCATCAACCAAGCCTATGAACAAAGTGATATATATGCATATATATACCAAAGCAGCAACTTGAAAATCAATGCGGTAGACAAAGTTGTACTTGTACAGAGTTATAAAAAGGCACCAACCATATTATCGAAGTAGTCCTCGCACATGACACTCTTTCCACCCTTGGGGAACTGCATTGTCAGATACCTGTTCTTGGGGAACACAAGAGTCCCAAACAACTTCATCTGACCCTGAAAAGTGGAAACAGAAACAACTGAGACAAGTGAGAGAAAGAAAATTGGGAATGAAAGTAGTAGAGGTCACCGCCCGACCTGAGGGAATTGGAGGTAGAGGACGGGGTTCTTGGTGTCCAAATCCTTGAGGTCGCCGATCTTACCACCTCCAATGGGGGCAAGGAGGCCAGGGAAGGAGAAGAGGAACTTGTTCTTCCGCTGAGATTTCTTTACAATGTCCTTGCCATGCTGCTTAAGGACACCGTTTGAAGGTGTGAGAGGCGCGCGGGGCTTTGCAGGGATCTCCGAGAGCTGGTTGTTGGAGAAGGCGAGGGCTTTGAGCCTCTTCCGCTGCGCCACCTCAGGTTCTGCCTCTGCCTCTGCCCCTGCCCCTCCATCATCTTCGTGTTTCCGCTTCTTCGATGACGAGGTCCGCACCATTTTGATTCCACCGGACCGGAGACCACCAACTCTACCTCCTGTCTCTGTAGGGTTTTGAACCTCTCTCTAAAATGTCTATTGCACCCAACCGACCCGACCCAAGTATTCTCCTAGATTTTTTTTTTGTTTGTTTGTTTTTTTTTTTTTTTTTTTTCGAAAGAAAGATTTTAATAAATCCTCTCGTGCAAGACAAAAGACCCACAGATGTACTACCCGATTACAAACTCAAGAAGCAAAAATAAAATCTATTGATCTCAGTTGCATTTGTATACACTTAATATCAAATAGAATACCTTCAATTACAACGTTTGGTTGAGTGATTCCGTTGTTCATATCCACAAGTTCCTTTGAATTCGATTCCACCTAGACAACCTCAAACCTCTTATCCATGCATGCCACCTGTCCTACCCATACTACCTCCACCTTCGCCATAAGACTAGACTCACAAAGAATGTTACCCGCACCTTCTGCCGCCTTGAAAATTCCAGCAAAATCTCGTGCCACCCAACCATATCCTCCCCATCCTGTTTCTCAAACCCAAGCTCCATCACAATCAATTTTAATTGTACGAAACGGAGGCTGCTGCCGACACGATGGCAATACCCTTTGCAACCTAGCCTGCCGATGCCCCACCTTCAGTCATGAACCTTGTTCCCCTTGGCTATCTTTTAACTCTCTTCATTGTTGTCGTAACATCCTAACAGCTTCAATTAGTTGAACAACATTCTTTTCAAAAACCACACTATTCCTACATTTCCAAAGTCTCCATAATCCACACACCACCCATCTCATTATTTTCCCATTTTCTTCAACATTCTCATACCGATTGGATAACCACTTCCATTTTTCCAAAAAATTATCTCCCTTAACCAAAGTAGAGTCTAGTTGGAATGGACTCCCAAACCAAAACACTCGAGCGTATGGGCAATGGAAAAATAAATGCTCTTGTGTTCTACCGCAACCTCACAATTTGGGCATGTAGTATTGAGTCGAATTCTTTGACGGTTAAGATTAACACGAACCGCTAGTATATTTTTGCAGCACCTCCAAATAAAGTTCGGAGTTTTTGTGGAACCTCCAAACGCCAAATAGAAGACCACACCTTATCCTTATTTTGCCCTACACTCGACTCCCCAACACCTTTCCGCCCTAGCTCCGCATCGCGATTAAGTTCTTGAGCAATCCAATAACCTGACTTGACAAAATACACCCCCGTTCTTCGTATGGTGCCAAACAAGTTTATCCAGACATCCAAATTTACTGAGCGGCCTACCCAAAATAATACGAGCTTCATCGCTCACAAAACATCGACCAATTATATCACACGAACGGGCCTATCCGACTAATGCCTGCCTATGCATTCGATCTAATGAGTTGTAATTTGTGCACAAAGTTTCGTGTGTTTTTTTTTTAATTTTTTTTATTTTTTTTAATGAAAGCAAGTTTCGTGTGTTTAAGATTACCAAAAAGTTTTAAAATGATTAAATTTTATTTTTTAAAATTTATAAATTTTCTTGTTTGGCTGACCTTAAAGCACTATAGAACTTGAATACGAAAATTTTAATTTTTGAACTCACTCATAAAAATTTGAAAATGATACTTATTTACATAAAATTTAAACTTGGAAATTGGAGGTTCAAACTTCTAAGTTTTTTTCACGTGAAACTTCTGCATTTCTATGTTTATGAATCCAAACAACGAAATTGGTTTATATCAATTTATAAATTATGCTTCTATCAAAATTCCATGTTTATTTTCTTCATCCAAACATAGTATTACAATCATATATAAAATTACTACAAAGGTTTTACTGACTTATGAAAAAGAAAAAAAATCATTTTCTTTGAACATCCATGGGACTTTGAAAAAAATAAATAAATAATGTGGTAACCAAGTGATTAATAAACTTCAGGGCTGTTAAATTTTTATAAGGGAAATTTTATTTGAATCCATATAACCTCTTTCCACATCAAACTTACTTTCTACACCCTAATTATTTGTAATTAAATTATTAATATCTCTTTAAACCCAAATTTACTACCTAAATTACCCTAACAAACTCAATTCAATATGCAAATTTGTTTCTACACCCATTTAAAATAAAAACCCAAAATCAAAGCATATGTTCTTTTCCCTACAAAGTTGCTCTCGATAAATTCCAATTCCACTAGGATCTTCCAAGTTCATAGCATTACAAAGCAAAAGTGACAGATAGAGTTTCATTGCTGGGATTAGAAAAAATTTCACGGAATATTTTCACTGTTCTTTTAGTTTATTCCTCCCCAACTTCTCTAGCTTGTGTATAACTGTAATGTTCCCGTCCTCATTTAAGTCGTGGCTTTCTTTGTGGCTATCTTCAAACTGCCTAACGAAAGGATTTGACAAACTCAAAGCAGCAACAGCTGCAACTGCGCATGCTAGCACTAAATTATCTCTGAAACTCTTCTTCTTAATCAAGACTTGAATAACAGTGAGCATCCTAGAGTGACAAGGACTCATAGGGTAATGAGCCATGGCCCTCCCTAGAGGTGTCAGTCTTCCATCTTTGTCAAGTGCTTGAAGACTCTTCAAGCAAGGCATCACCATATGGAGGAGGTGGAAGAGGAAAATTGGATACCTGGATGCCCAAAAAGTGGTCATATTGTCTTCTTAATCTTCTCATAATGCTTAATGAACCCAAATTCACAAAAGGTTGCATGATGACAAATATTTGACTATTGAGTGTAGGTTTATTAATAATTTTTAGGTTTATTGTTTATTTATCTTGTACTTAATAGTAATTATACAATAAGATAAAAAAGACCATTCACATTTAAAATTTAAGTTGTGTGTAGAATGAGGTTATTTGGGTTTAAATAAAATTTTTCTTTTTATAATTAATACAAAGAAAATGGTGTCAAAGAAAATGAAAAATTTTAAAAATAAAACAAGGATCTTCTAAACCATTTAGTAAACTATTTTGGAGTTCAACTAAATGTATGAGAGTAAATTAAGTGTCTAGAAAAAAAAGGGGTTTCGGAAACGAAATATAGGTTTGTACATAACCACTCAACACATAAACACAAAACCCGTTCAACCAAAATACACCACAATTCACGATGGTATGAAAAAAGAAAACCACAACAAAATACGCAAAATTTGCATCCTTTAACAGAAAGCAGAAAAGGGCAGAGTAATCCAAATGTTAATTAAAATGTCTCGTTGTCGGTCCAAATCCGCAAGGGAGGAGTAATGAGTGTGTTTTGCGCTTTTTTTCTTTCTTTCTTGTTCAGCACAGAAACCCTCCATCCTTTTACCATTCCTTCATTTCCGATGTGAAAAATTCCAAGTTTCTTCATTAGTGACAGTCAATTAGGAAGCCATGGTTGGTGCTCTGTCTCACGCCTTGCCAAGCATTCCGTCTTCTTGTTGCCTTTGCCGAATCGATAATCACAAGGAAGATCACAAGCTCTGCGTTTGGGGTTTCTCCACCTCCAGAGAAAGAAGCGCCTCTGGAATCGGAATTGTTCGGGTTTACAAGAGGAGCCTCTTGGGTGATAACCTCACCGGGCGCTGGACTCTCAACGCACTCGACACCCACATTGGTGTCGAGACTGCTCCTCGTCACACCACCGTTGAAATCCCCGTCACCTGTTACCAGGTCGCTTCTTTCGTCTTTAATTTGAATGGGCTCTGTGTTTGTCAAATTGTGATTTTTACATGTATTTTCTTTGCGGTTGAGAGAGATCCTGCAATAGCGACATATATACAAGTTAAATGTTGAACATTGCCATCAAGGACCTTCAAATCACTCTGCTATCCTTACGTTAGCCATCCTAGCAGCGTAGCAGCCTGGCAGTGCCATAATCAAGTGTCTGTCTAGTGTTTTAGTGATTAAGAAATTTGTTTCTTGTGTTATGATTTCCCTATTTTCGGAACTTCATTATAGGTCACCATTTACTAAATGCCATACAAATGACTTTGCAGCTTATTGGCGTTCCTGCTAAGGCTGAGAAAGATGAGGTTGTTAAATCAGTGATGGAATTGAAGAGTGCCGAAATTGAAGAAGGCTACACTTTGGATACAGTCCGATCTCGCCTGGTACACACCTGGATTTTTATTCTTTGCTATATTTTTTTTAATTAAGTTGTGCTATGTATTATATAGTTTAATTTCTTTTCTCTTACGCGTTTGTTGCCAGGGTCTCTTAACGGATGTGAGAGATAAGCTTCTTTTTGAACCAGAATACGCTGGCAATATTAAGGAAGAGATCCCACCTAAATCTTCCCTACGAATCCCTTGGGCGTGGTTGCCGGGTGCTCTTTGCCTTCTTCAAGAGGTAAAGCTTTGTCTTTGTGCACTCTTCTTAATTTGTAATATAATGTTGCTTCTTTGTTCCTTTTCTTCCCTTTAAAGAAAAATAAATACTGTTAATCACTGATTTAACTGAAGAGGAATTGAATTCTTTTTTCAGATATTAGTTACCGAACTATGTTGGTGAAACTCCATTTGGCACAGTGCTTTTCATTGTGGATTCTTGTAGATACTTTATTAACTGGAACTGTTTTCTTCTTATTTGTAATTTTGTACAACAACTTTTTGTTTTGGTCTAATTATAAACGAAAAAGGATTTTGTTTTGCAAGACACGGGTGTATGATATTGGATTTCTCCATTATAGGTTGGGGAAATTAAGCTTGTGCAAGATGTTGGCCGCGTGGCTGTTCAGCATCCAGATGCTAAGCAGTATATTCATGATCTTCTTCTTTCTATGGCATTAGCAGAGGTAAGGCATATCAGCAAAGAGGTCAGGATATTGTATCATCCGTTTCTGCATTGTTATGCTTCCCTTTCTCATCTTAGGTGCTTTCTTGAAGTGTGCAACTGCAAAGGTTGGTTTTGAGAAGAACAAGGTGTCCCAAGGATTTGAAGCTCTAGCTCGCGCTCAGTGTCTTCTAAGGAGTAGAAAGTCTCTTGGTAAAATAGCATTGTTGTCTCAGGTAATACTCTCGTCTTCTATTCTGTCAATATTTTGTTATCTGGTTTGTCACTCTGGAATGGGACTCTTGTTTTTGGGTTGCAAAGTAGTGACCAGATATCTACTAATAATCCAAAAGTATAGTGGATCAAATGTTGAGATGGATCATGGACCTGCTGTTTGAAATTTGTAAATTATGACAAATTTCTGTTTGAAAACATTTAACTTTATTCCATGCTTGTACTTGCCCAAAAAGTATACTTGCTTATGCTGCTGTGTAAATCATAAGTTGGTCATGTTTAATAGATAGAAGAATCTTTGGAGGAGCTTGCACCTGCTTGTACATTGGAATTGCTTGGCATGTCTCACTCACCTGAGAATGCGGAAAGAAGACGAGGAGCAATTGCAGCCTTGCGTGAATTGGTCAGGCAGGGACTTGATGTGGAAACTTCATGCCGGGTCCAAGACTGGCCATGCTTCTTGACCCAAGCCCTGAATAGACTAACAGCTTCAGAGATAGTTGATCTTCTTCCATGGGATGACTTAGCTATTACAAGGAAGAACAAGAAATCACTTGAATCACAGAATCAACGGGTTGTAATTGATTTTAATTGTTTCTATGTGGTGTTATTAGCTCATATTGCACTGGGTTTTTCAAGCAAGCAAAAGGAATTGGTAAGTTCATTATTCTCCTAGGTTAGTTGCTTTGAAATAATTAGTTTTGAATGAGAAGGCTGATGGAATGGTTCCCTTCAAATTCTCTTGAGGGTGTTGTTGTCTGTTCCATTTTGTTAATTTCAGTATTTATCATATGGTTGTGCAGATTGAGAAAGCAAAATCTGTATGTGACTGCCTGATTGCATCAGAGGGTGCTGATCTGAAACTTGAGGAAGCTTTTTGCTTGTTCCTTCTTGGTCAGGTACATTTTTCACTTTCCTTCTAGTTTTATGTCCTGCACTGTTTCACAAAGTTCTTTTGGATATCTTGCATAGACTGAATTTGTTTTCCTTTTTCTCCTTTCTGTTTTCTCTACGAAATATTAACTTGGTTTCCAGGGTGATGAGGCTGCCGTTGTTGAAAAGCTTCAGAAGCTGGAGTTGAACTCAAGTTCTGCTGCACGAAATTCAATCGTAGGGAAGGAAGTTAAGGATACTTGTGGTGCAACACAATCATTGGTATATCTCTTATGGGTTGTTGTTGTCTCCCTATTTACACAGCGTATATTGTGATCAATGTGGTCTATTTATGTATCAACTCCTTTTAATTAGTGGCATGCACATCAATGGTCCAAAAAAGCATACACTAGTAACCAGGGGCCACTCTAGCTCTTAATCAATTTTCCTTTACTTTCTCTGTCTCATGTCATTTGTTTCAGGAAAAGTAAAAGCTGTTTTTAGCCTGTGGAATAGATGGTTTATCATGAAAATGCATTGTGTTCTATATTGTGCCATTTCACACTCTACTTATTTCAGTACAAACTTTATGTTTGTTTTCAAGGCCAGTACTTTCTCATGTCGGACTGCCTGCTGAACTTAATCAGGAAATGTGGCTGAAGGATGCTGTCCTTGCTGTGTTTCCAGACTCACGAAATTGCCCTCCATCGTTGGTGAGATTCACAACGATGGATTGATTAAGGATTTTAGTTTTATTTTACCAGACAGTTTATGTATGTGTGTATGTATGTCTTTGCAGGCCAACTTTTTTGGTGGTGACAAGAGAACTCCTCTGAGCAAGAAAAGCAAAGTAGCTCCACAGAATTTGCCTATCATAAGTCAAAGACCAATGTCCGCTACTTTTGTTTCAGAACGGAGAGATTTTGATAAATGTTTTTCCCATATGAACTCTTCTCAATATCTTGGAACAGCTGTTAAGCAGTTGGCTCCAACTGATATGCGAAGTCCCTTGATATTGGGCAAGACTGGCAGTGGAACCAGTGCCATTGCATCATCTGTTCAATTGGAAAGGAATCTTGGCATGGACCGCAGTAAAGTTTGGGATGGTTGGTTTGCGAGAGGAGTTTTGGTTGGAAGGATCACTTTAGTTGGAGTACTGGGGTGCATTGTTTTTGCTACCTTAAGATTAACAGGATTGAAGGGAAATGTGATGAGAAGTGCTTCTAAACAGGCCTCCAGTAAGCGAAATATGCACACAAGTTCTATTGCTTGGACAACAAATCCATCTGCGGATTCTAATCTTGTCCCTGCTTATATCAAGGGGAATGGACTAGCTGGCAGATTTAAGAAGCTTTTGGTGACTTTTATGAAGCCGGTGGGGACCTTCTCAGATGCTGGAAATCGGCAGATTCCGTATTTGTCCTCTTCAACAGCTGTGTTCCGGAGACTTATGTCTATTGAAGAAGCTAAAGACCTTGTGAAGCAATGGCAAGCAATTAAAGCTGAAGCTCTGGGGCCCACTCATGAAGTTCACAGCCTCTCTGAAATCCTTGATGACTCAATGCTTGTTCAGGTGTATTTAAGCTTACTTCCTTTTACATGTTCTTTTCCTTGATGATTCTTGCAAGTTTTACTGCTTTACGGTATGGGTTTGGGTGGTTACGATTGCATGCATGGTTCACAGTGGCAGGCTTTGGCTGATGCTGCAAAAGCAAGGTCTTGTTATTGGAAGTTTGTCTTGCTACAACTGTCTGTCGTACATGCTGAGATTTTATCAGATGAAGTTGGAGGAGAAACCGCAGAGGTTGAGGCTGTCGTAGAGGAAGCGGCTGAACTTGTTAATGAATCTGAGCAAAAGAACCCAAGTTATTACAGGTGAGTTGATTGAAGGGGTTATGATTATTTTTGTGGTTTCTATTACTGTATGTGGTGGGGTGGGGTGGGGGAGGGTGATGATTATCGGGGCTTGTATTTGATTTCTTTTCTGTTGGAGTGATTGCAGCACCTATAAAATTTGGTATGTTCTAAGAAGGCAAGAAGACGGTTCGTGGAGGTTCTGTGAAGGGGAAGTGCAGACACCATCATAACATTGGCCTAGCCTAGTTGCTGCTGTAAGCTTGAACCATCCACGCCGAATAATGCTTTTTTAACTTGGTTCCTTCCTCCTATCTGTATTTTTTCTTTTGGAGGAGAGGTCCCAACTAATTGGAGATGTGGATCTAAATTTAGGGAGTTTTTTTGTTTTTTTTTTTTCCTTCGCAGAAGTATGAAAATGGTTTGTGTTCGATAATTCTTTTAGTTGTGATTATGTTGATACATTGTTTACATGTAGCTGGAATAGAATGAGCATTGCTTTCATCGTCGTGTGTTTGTTGGCTTTTAATATAGGAATTGTTTGAGACGTGTACAAATTATTGTTTAATTATCCAACTCAAAGGACAAGGAAGGAGGATCGAGTTTCCAAATATACCATGCCATCTTGTTATGCTAATTTAGCCGTTTTTCTTATTAAACCTAGACATTACGTAACGGGAGATTTGTTGTGTGCAAGTTTTATGTGGGAAATTTGTTGCGTGCGAGTTTTATGTGGAAGATGTGACGCGTTCGAGGTCCGAATATACTACTAAGTGTCACATGTTTAAGTCAAAACTAACAAGCCATTTAGTACTACTGTTTGATGATATTCCTTTCACTTGGAAGTAAGAGGTTTTAGGCTTGATCTCATGAATGACTAATTCGATATTAAATTAGTTTGTCTATTGTGTAGCTTAGCTGAACTCCTCCCCCTTAGTATAAAAATATCGATATACTAAAAAAGATATAAAAAAAAAGTCAAAACTAACAGACAAATGTCTGCCCCTTAAATAGGAGGTTTAGGAGGTTTAAAGAAAGAACAACCACAAAGCTTTTGAAAAGCAAGCCCGGCCCAGCACAGCCCATGTTAAACCACAGCGCCCCACCCCCACAGCGCAAGAATCTGAGATTAGAGACTATTTCTTTGATCGCGAATCTAAGCTTGAATTGAAGCCTTGAATTGAAGCACAATTCAGACGACTATCAGAGAGAGTTTGAAAGCCAATCACGGTGATGGGTCGTCAAGCCGTAGCCAAGCTGATCGGTTCGATCGCATCGCGCAGAGCATCTCCGTCAACGTCCTTACTTCAGCGCCGCCATTACTCCCCGGCTCCGCCACCGCCCCCCGCTGTTTTCGTTGACAAAAACACTCGCGTCATATGCCAAGGCATCACCGGCAAGAACGGCACTTTCCACACCGAACAAGCCATCGAATATGGCACCAAAATGGTATCTATCACTTGCATTCCCCTCTCACTCTCTCTCCCTTCTCCAAATTGGTCTCTATATGTGCACTCATCTGTTTCCGATTTTCGTTTGCTTTATTGAAAATTCTAGGTTTTTCTCAAACGCATTCATACAGGCCGGGCCTTAGATGTGTATGCAATTTTTCTTGAAATTTCTGCTAGTGATTTACACAAAGCCGAAAGCTTCGAAATCAATTATCAAATTACTGGCGCCACCTGAGATTAGTTTGCTGTTTTACACTTTTGGGATTTTCTTTTGATTCTCGTGTTGCTTTGTTTATGTATTTAGATTCATTTGCTCATGTGCTTAAACTTGTTTGTCTCTTACTAGTGAATATCGAAAGCGAAGTTTCAAATCGGTAAAAATAATTGGGAATTGTGTTCATGTTGACATGTAAACTGGCGATGTGGGTTTCCTAATGCGGCAACGCTAATGCAATATATTAAAGAAAGATAGGAGTGCTTGCAACTAATTGACTAAGTTTAGTTTCAAGGTTAATTTTCTATAACAAGCTTTCTTTCTGAAATATACTATAAAAAAAAACTTAAAGAGTGATCCATTTTATTCTTCCTTTCTTTCTTTCTTTCGTTGATTATATTTGTATACGATTGTGCTGAAACAGGTGGGTGGTGTAACACCGAAGAAGGGTGGGACTGAGCATTTGGGACTTCCTGTTTTCAACTCAGTTGCAGAAGCAAAAGCTGAAACAAAGGCTAACGCCTCAGTCATATATGTCCCCCCACCATTTGCTGCTGCTGCTATTCTTGAGGCAGTGGAAGCAGAGCTGGATCTTGTTGTGTGCATTACAGAGGGGATCCCACAACATGATATGGTAGTGTTAATTTCACCAATATCTTTAAATAGGAAAAATAAGGTCACCATGTTTTTACTTGGGATGATGCGCCAGTAGTCTCATCTTTTGGGACTTGTAAAGAACCCCTAACCATATTTATTGAGTTTATCCTTCATGGACTATCATATGGCTTGGAATACGGACTTCATTGAACTTGATCAGGGCTTGGATAATTATTTTCAGTTCACTAGTTCACTGAAAGCCTAGTTATTAATCTTGAATCTGGTCTTCTGTGATTCGTGCGAGTGTGTTATTGAAGCTAATATTTATGAATTTCAGGTGCGTGTCAAGGCTGCTATTAACAGGCAATCTAAAACTCGGCTCATTGGGCCAAATTGCCCTGGAATTATTAAGCCTGGTGAATGCAAAATCGGAATTATGCCTGGCTACATTCATAAACCTGGGCGTATAGGAATTGTTTCTCGATCTGGTACCTTGACCTATGAAGCAGTGAGTACTAATTTTAATCCAGGGAGACTGGGAGAACTATCCGAATAGCCTCTACAATTTTTACTCTCCAACATACAATTTTCATATTAATTTGGTCCTTTCAGTAGATTGGATACTCTTATTATCATTCAATCTTCAGCTTTTCTTGTTTGATGTTTGGATCTTGTGGGCACCAGTTCTGTTCCTTATAAATCTAACTAATTTTTTTCCTTTTACCCTGCAGGTTTTCCAAACAACTGCTGTTGGCCTTGGACAATCGACCTGTGTTGGTATTGGGGGGGATCCATTTAACGGTACAAACTTTGTTGATTGCATTGACAGATTCCTACAAGATCCTCAAACAGAAGGTTAGGAGTTTGAATTAGTTTTTCTTTTCATGTTGCAGTTGATCAAATTGCAGATTGAATGGAAGGATATGCATCCCTTCATCTGCTCATGTGTATTTGTTTACATTGCATGCATAGGTTCATATTTATGCTATGAGCGTCCATAAAATAATTGATTGTATTCGGACCCACCTGTTTCCCATCTCTGTCTCACAGACACCCATATTGTCTAAGTCAAACAGTTATCCAGCTTTGATGAGGTAAAACAATACTCTGTCAGCGTTAGTTCAGTTTTAAGGTTCAACATTGGAGTATATGTTCGATGTTAAAAATCAGGTCAGTTCACCACTGCTGGAAATTACATCAGTACAATGAGCATAGTGGGCTAGACAACATCCCTGGATTGACATTGACCGACTATAATTTGTCGAGTCAAATAGAAAGTGTTCTTATGCTCCCATTTTTCAACCCTTTTTAGGGGCTTTATGATAAGCGTCATGTTCCAACTACTTTGACTGGATGCTTGTCCATTCTACTATTTTTGGCTGGCTGACATTGTGTATGTTGCTTAAACACTGCGTTAACCAACTTTTTCTTTGATGTAAAGTGTATGTATTCATTTCTTACCTTTGTCATCTGTGAGGATGTTGGTGAAGTATACAATAAAACATATCTTGAAGTAGAGGACAAGTAATTTGAAATTAATTCCAGAATGTGCGTGTTTTAGGCATCATTCTTATAGGAGAGATTGGTGGGACTGCGGAAGAGGATGCTGCTGCATTGATTAAGGTAGGAATCTCACAAATTTTTGCTTGTATACCATAATTCATAGGTTTTTTCTGGTGTCTGAACATCTAAGGACCTGTTGAGCCATACATGATTTTACTGCTCGTAGATTCTCAAAGTTAGCTTCAGTAACAGTAAGTACTGGTGTCTATATTTGTTGTCTGGATATGGGTTGCTCCAACTGATTCTCTGACCAATTAAACAGGAAAGTGGAACTGAGAAGCCTGTTGTTGCATTTATTGCTGGATTAACTGCACCTCCTGGTCGTCGTATGGGTCATGCTGGAGGTAGATAATTCTTACCCTCTCTGTCTCATTGTCTAAGGATGAGTGTGTGGTTTCCGATATGTTATGATTGCTCACATCTGGTTTTGCAGCTATTGTGTCGGGGGGGAAGGGTACCGCACAAGACAAAATCAAGACACTAAGGGAAGCTGATGTTACAGTGGTGGAGTCTCCCGCGAAAATTGGGGTAGCCATGCTTGACGTCTTCAAACAGAGGGGCCTTGTGAATTAGCAGCTTGACAACGGCAGTTCATTTGCAATCACACCTATAATATTCTATGGCAAGATGTCAAAAACAAGATGATTGTCTTCAATTTTTCACTGAATATAACTTAACTGCGGTGGAGCATTTGAATGCTCCGAGATTTCTTCCCCCATTAATTTGGTTTTTGCGATTGTTTTTTCATACATAAGTGATTTGAAGGGAGTCCAGAATATGAATATTGTTGCTGTAGACAGATTATGCTCAGGGAATTCATTTCGTAACTTAAAGGCTGAATGCCGACTGCCGAGCTAACAACAATGTTGTAATGCAACTTTTTACTGTCCAATCAGATTAGAAAAACAAAGAGGACAGAGGGAAGGGTCTTCAATCTAACTTTTATTTGTTCTTTTCTGGTTACAACGTTTGTTTCTTTCCTTGATAATGATTTTTAGATTAGTGCAATTCACACGCTCATTTTTACTTCTTACACACCCCGCTCAATTTTCGATCCTCGGATCGAATGAATTGAAGAAGATTAATGGATGAAATTAACAAGGGTGTATGGGAGTTAAAACTGAGTTTACGGATAGCAATACCCTTTGACTCTCATGATTGTTGACTTTATTAGAGATTGTTATTGGCACTAAATTACTAACACAAACCGATTGTATACCACCACCGATGAACACCAGATAAAAAAATATTTACTGGGCCAAGAGCACCCCCAAGAGTAAAGAAACCCTTCTTTTACTTGTTAGTTTTTTTTTTTTTGGAACATCCATTTTTCTTCTATAATTATGAATGCTTTCTCTTCAATTTTTTTGTGAACAGTGGCAAAATGCATCCGTTTTGTTTGCAAGACCCTATGAGTGTCCAAAGAAAATAATTGTCTTCCTTAAGAAATTACTAAGCCTTTTGCGATAATTTTATGTCTGGATATAAAATGTCTTTTCTGTTAAATAAAATTAATGGGTGCCGAGGAACAAAATTTGAGCATGCAAAGAACCACTCTCATGTGTTTTGGCCAGACCTTACAACCGCATTGGGATGTAAAAAATGGTAGAAGAAACCTCTGATGCATAGATAATGCTTCTAACCACTTTAGAAGCCAACTCCTGGATCGCCAAACTTCTAGTGTTCACGAGTTACTTCGATTTACGCGTGAAAGGACTGTTACCCTACACATGAACCTCAAATGACAAGGCTTCGATAGAAATCTTGTTTTTTTTTTTTTTTTTTTTTTTTTTTTTGGACAAACAACACACAAGGGGGGTGGAAGTGAAATAAGATTCACAATTAACTAGCAATTATATAGTTCAAATTCGCCTTTGACAAGATTTAAACCTAAGACTTCTCACTTATAAGTGAAGAGGAATATTACTAGACCGTAGTACTAAGTAGCAACGAACTTCACCAAGTCTGAGACTTACTCTGGACCACAAGGACGATCTATGCAATTTAGACGAAATACTATGTACAAATCGACCGATCACAAAACAATAAAACATGAATTAGTAGACTGTTGTGAGTAGTAAATAAGATTAAAATGTACACAAGTTCAAGAATGGTTTTATCTGTTCTAGGATTACAAGGCAAGTCTAAACGTTCCCCCAGTTAAACACACAAATTCCACGCTACTCGGGTCTGCAACAGTTCGAATGCCACAAGGCAAACGGGCAAATGTCCATGCCCACGATATCCTACCTTCATTAAGCAGTCGTAGGATCGTTTATCACACCCAAGAAATCGTCCTTTATGGTGCCAATGCAGAACTGCAAAATTTGAGGGAAAAACTAGTATCATAAGCAAACGAACGCTACATTAAATGAAGGACAAAACGATTCTAGCTCGTTTGTATAGAAGTAGCTTCAGCCAGGCTCTAAGAAACTAAATGCGTCAAAAACTGACTATGGCGGGTAACCAGGATCAAACAAGTAGGAAATTCATCAGAATGTAGGGTTGGATCATGATGATCATCCCACCACTCCACATTCAGTATGATTTAGTGTTGAAAATTCAAAATATGACACGGTGACTAATCAAAGGAACATTAAACAGGACCATTCCTAGAAGGCTAGGATGACACTGCTACTTTACGCCTCTAAATCATCCTCACCCTACCCTTTTCGTCCATAACTAAAGCTGAATCACTTGGACAGTACAAGGAAAATGGCAAAACATAAAAGTCACGGAGAGAAGAGTAAACAGATTGAGCATATACAATTTCAGTAGCATCTACTCGGGTTCCAATTATCTTTAATCGCACTTCGCTGTCTTTCTGAATCTTAACCTGCAAAATAACAAGAAATCAATGTTTAACCATATAAATCTAAGCTAAAAGAAACAGCTGAGAATCAATTGAAACTGAAGCATACTGATCCATCTGATGTTGTATAGTTTGGCATATCCCCAGTCTGGAACTCCATGTCATCCGGTATCAACTACAAAACAAGATGAGGAAATTAGCATACACTGTATATGGAAAACATAATGACATGTTAGTTTAACCCATTAACTGAGACAGCAAAAGAAACAAGAACTCTTTAAACTCCAAAAACCAGAAACCTGATCCAAAGAAGTTGAGAAAGTACAAATCTCATAGAATTATTGCTTATGAGAATTATTCCTTTGTGTAAAAGACTAGTAGACCACTACTTATGACACACCCCAACGCCAGTTTCCAATGAGGACCGAACTCGAGGCGTGCTGGCCATCACCGGTTGGGTGACAAAGCCAAAATACAACATACATAGATTATGTTTTAAAGAAAGATACAAGATTGACTAACTTAAAAGTATATCATTCTTTAGACTGACATTTGATTTAAAAAGTTGAGTAGAACTTGTTATTTAGAAGGAAGGGGGGAAATGGACGGCAAAGGTAAAAGAATACCATAGCAACAATACAACCCAAGTCCTTGCAAAAGTTTACAACTTTGTACAAGGCAAAAAATTATATTATGGAAAACAAAGTTTTCTAACAAGATATGGATAATGTTTATCACTGCTCCGAGTAATCAAAGGGGGAAGAGATGCTTACGTGGTTCGAAACAAAGATTTGAACAGGACCAGCCTCAGCAAAGAATCCCATCTATAAAATTTGGAGATGACATTACATTTTCTGCAGTTAGTATTATACAGAATACAAGAGCTTGCAAATGCAAAGTAAGAACACTGATGATAAAACGTTAATAGGTGAAAGAGGAAAAGCATACCTTGTTGACCATGGTAACAACAGCTTCTAAGATCTCTCCTTTGAATGGTCTGAAAACAACACACTGGTACTTGATGGGGAATGAGACGAAGCCTGTCCCATCACGAATCATCCCTTTCCCAATGTTTTCTATGCCCGTAATTGCAACCACAAATCCATGTTGACCACTGCACAAAGAGTATTCATATCAACTACTAGATCCATCCCAACCCGTGATGGCCAATCTGCCATATATGTGGTTTGAAAGACACTAAGTAAAGCACTTGAATGTCAATATTGAATTGGATAGGAGAAAGAATGCGGTAAAGGATCGACAAGAAGCAACTTTTGGTTTGTTTTCGTGTTCTGACGTGTATTGCATAACCCAACAGCATAAAGCAAATTATACAAGAAAAAATAAAGCCGAAGAGAGAGAGAGAGAGAGAGAGAGAGAGAGAGGACAACCTGCAAGTGCCTTCGACATCTTTCATGAGCTTGGAAACGAGATTTTCACGGAGATTGCGGCCAAAGTGGCGAGGATGAAGCTGCATGTTCCTCTCCAGCACTATATGGAAGAACATCTTTCCTTCTCCCTGAATCTCTCAATTCTGATTAACGAGTTAGAAATCGAGAATTCGATGTTTGCCCTAACCTCTCCAACTTGGAACTTCTTACTTCGTCTCTCCAGAGAGATAATCTTTCCCTCGCTAATCGCTATAGCAAGGCAGATACCTACTCTCCGAGGGACAAGACATCATGGTAAAAAGGAAAACCCAATTAGAGGGCCCAGCTAGCCCATATAAAGTAAAAGCCCAAAATATCCAAGTCCAACACTGTTAATGTTTGACCTGCGGGAGAGTCTCCTAAACTGGTTGTGTCGCGGCGAGTGATGGCACTCGTAATCGCAGGAGCAGATCCCCTTCCTGATCCTTGATCCTTGATCCTTGATCCTTGTCTGTCGTGCTCGTGTCGTCCCTAAGGCGAGTGATCGCACTCGTAATCGCAGGAGCAGATCCCCTTCGTAATCCTTGATCCTTGCCTGTCGTGCTCGTGTCGTCCTTAAAATGTCACTCCTAGTGAATTGCAACTGACAAGTGAAAACCCCTGAAATTCAGTTCGCTCCAGTTCATTTCTTTCTCAAAGGAAACACAAACATCATGGTCGGAAAAACGGAGCCCCTCAACGGCACTGCCACCACGAAAACCGGCCAATCTCCTTCGCCATCTTCGCCCCAAGCCACATCTATGTCAGGTCTCCTCGGCAACTTCTCGTTCAAAACCCTGAAACTGAAGACCAAGCAGCAGGAGCTCCTGATCCGAGTCTCCATCCTCTGCTTGGTCTACGTCCTCGCCTTCATCACCCGCCTCTTCAGCGTCCTCCGCTACGAGTCCATGATCCATGAGTTCGATCCCTATTTCAATTACCGTACTACCCTCTACCTCACCGAGAAGGGCTTCTACGAATTCTGGAACTGGTTCGACTCTGAGAGTTGGTACCCCTTGGGTCGGATCATCGGCGGCACCCTCTACCCTGGCCTCATGGTCACCGCCGCCATCATCTACTGGGCCCTCCGATTCCTCAGCTTCGCCGTACACATTCGCGAAGTCTGCGTCATGACCGCTCCATTTTTCGCCTCCAACACCACCCTCGTAGCATATTTCTTCGGTAAAGAGATTTGGGACACCGGCGCCGGCCTTGTCGCCGCCGCATTGATCGCCATTTGCCCCGGCTACATCTCCAGATCGGTGGCCGGCTCCTACGACAATGAGGGTGTCGCCATTTTCGCCCTGTTGCTGACGTTTTACTTGTTCGTCAAGGCCGTCAATACTGGCTCGCTCGCTTGGGCGTTGGGCTCCGCATTGGGCTACTTCTACATGGTCTCGGCCTGGGGAGGTTATATCTTTATAATCAACTTGATTCCCCTTTACGTTTTGGTGCTTTTGATCACCGGGCGATATTCCATGAGGTTGTATGTCGCCTACAATTGCACTTATATTCTTGGAATGTTGCTCGCTATGCAAATTCGCTTTGTCGGCTTTCAGCACGTTCAGTCTGGGGAGCACATGGCTGCCATGGGCGTCTTCTTCTTGATGCAGGTTGGTTGGTTGTTTTCCTTAGGTTGCTTTTCCATTCCATACATTAACTCAGTTTATCTGTGCCTTTTTGTCAATTCATTTCTTGGTGCTTACTTCATTTTTCATCTTTGTTTGGTGACACGGGGGATGGGGTTGGCAGGTATTTTACTTCTTAGATTATGTCAAGCACCTACTAAGTGACTCTAAGATGTTTCAAGCCTTTTTAAGGATCACTGTCACCTGCGCTGTAGGCGTTGGTGGTGTTGCCTTGGGAGTCGGCACTGCATCTGGCTATATCTCTCCATGGACAGGGCGGTTTTATTCCTTGCTAGACCCAACATATGCCAAGGATCACATTCCTATTATTGCATCTGTCTCTGAGCACCAACCGACGGCTTGGTCATCTTTTATGTTCGATTTTCATATCTTGCTCTTCCTTTTCCCTGCCGGTCTCTACTTCTGCTTCAAGCGTTTGTCAGATGCCACCATATTTGTGGTAATGTATGGTCTTACAAGCATGTACTTTGCTGGTGTCATGGTTCGGTTGATTCTTGTTGCCACACCTGCAGTTTGTCTTATTAGTGCCATTGCTGTCTCCGCGACTATAAAGAATTTGACACAGTTGGCAAGGGCAAAGGACAAGGTTTCCCAAACTGGTTCCACCAAAGGCGCCAGCAGCACAAAGGGTTCTTCAAAGGTGACATCTTTACTCCTTTATATGCATACATACACACAAAAATATACTTGCAGTTTTGATCTCTTGCTCACTGTTGAATACAGAGTCCATACTCACCGTGTATTTAAACCAAATGCAATGGCTGATATTTGAGTCTCTAGAAAGAAAATTAATTTTCTGAATAAATATCTGCTGTCTGATTTGGATCCATGGTAAGTGAGTATGGATTTTGGTTCTTAATGGTGGCTAGAAGATTGTGATCGTGTGTGTGGCGTTTAGAACCACCCATGTGATTTTCTTTCGAGATATTTTGGTGTTATATATCAAGTACCCTTTTTTGTTTTATTTTTTAATCACAGTATATAACAAGCAGTATCTTGCTTACATTTGTGTGACAAGTAGGGTTCAATTGATCAATCTCAGCCTTTTCAAAAAAATGGTGCTCTTGTCTTACTCTTTGGTGCATTCTACTTGCTTAGTAAGTATGCAACTCACTGTACCTGGGTCACGTCAGAGGCATACTCATCTCCCTCAATTGTTCTGGCTGCGAGGGGTGCCCATGGGAACAGGGTCATATTTGATGATTACCGTGAGGCATACTTTTGGCTTCGTCAGAATACTCCTCCAGATGCTAAAGTGATGTCATGGTGGGATTATGGGTACCAAATCACTGCAATGGGAAACAGAACTGTTATAGTGGACAATAACACCTGGAACAATACGCACATTGCTACAGTTGGGCGTGCAATGTCATCTTATGAAGATGAGGCATATGACATAATGAGATCGCTTGACGTCGACTATGTCTTAGTTGTATTTGGTGGTGTTACTGGTTATTCTTCTGATGATATCAACAAGTAAGTTCATAAGAATTTATTTAAACTTTTGAAACATCACTTGCTATTTGGTAAAGCATTTTATGACAGTGTTGTCTGTTGTTTTGATCCATGTTTCTGATGCTTCTTCAGAACCATTTTGTTCAATTTAATTGAAAGTAATACTCTTGTTAGTTATTTTTCTGCTTTCACTATATAGTAACACAAATTTCTTCATGCCAGATTTCTGTGGATGGTGAGAATTGGGGGTGGAGTATTTCCTGTGATTAAGGAACCTGATTACCTTGTTAATGGTGAATATCGTGTTGACAAAGGTGCAGCTCCCAAGATGTTGAACTGTCTCATGTAAGTTTCATAACACAGCTAAGATGTGCAAACTTATGTTATGTGTATGTACATATGAGATTTTTTAACAGGGCTAATGATTTCATCTTTTTCCCTAGTGGGACGACACCTTACTTCATTTCACAAACATAGTAAAAGAAAAAACACATGTGTCCAAAGGGGTTCCATAATCCAGAACAATTTGTGTGTCTGAAAATCGGTATGATGATTTAAAGTAGGCAAAATGGAAAACCTATGCTTGTTACACTGAGCTTATGATTATGATTGTTCTTTTATGAATGAATTCTCTCAAACTTTTAGTCATAAAATAACACCATATATTGGCTTGAAAATAGTTAAAGAGCTAATTGGCTTGATGATGTTTTGGTTTGCAATCCTTAAGGCCTATTGATTGATATACGTGGACTGTATATCATAAAGAAAATTGAGTTTCATTTCTGCTGGACCACTGGTTCGAATGTGCGGGGTATTTGGGTGCTATCTCACTCAAAATTAGTCAGAGACCCTTCGATGAATTATCCATTTGAAAATTATTATACCATTTGTGTTTCCTTATGTATTATGTCTAGTTCTGTACAGGAATGATTTGTTTTTTCCATTTTTATGGTGATTAGGTACAAGCTGTCTTACTATCGATTTGGAGAGCTGACGACAGAGTATGGCAAACCACCTGGGTAAGTTTCACGTGCCAACTATAGGTGTGCATGCTTCCGTGCAAACAAATGCACAAGTGTAATGCAAAAGCGCAGCATGTGGAGTATGAGACACTACCAACAATTGTCTAAACTGATTGACAAATAGAAAACCTAGAAACCGGAGCCTGTGCATCCTTATTGAGAGAATGGCCATAATATGCCAAGATTGATAATACTAGGTGCTCTTCCTAAGTTTTATATTGCATTAAACGCTGCAGTAGACTGGTAATTTTCTGTTGGCTCGGGTTTACACTACTAGTTGAAGCCTAGTACATTATTGGGTGAAAATGGAGAGTACATTATTGCATAAGCACATCTGTATGCTTATGTGCTTGCAGTGCCTTAGCATGTGCTACCTATGCCAAATAGCTGATTGTCGTCGTTTTGATTGACAGGTATGATCGTGCACGGGGGGTTGAAATTGGAAATAAGGATATCAAACTTGAATACCTGGAAGAGGCATTCACAACATCGAATTGGATTGTTCGTATTTACAAAGTGAAACCACCAAATAATAGGTGGTAAGCCCGGCTCTCTTGCGGCTACAAGGAAGGAAGGAAAGGACAATAGTGAAGGAACATGGGTAGATGAAAGGCGGAGAGATTGGAGTCTTGAGATATAGTTTTCAGAGATAGTAAAAGCGTAATTTTCTTTTCTTAGACTTGGTTTGTGGCACTGAAGTTACTGATCTCATCCGGAACCCTTAATTGGAAGGCCGTCTTTTTGCCTCTGAATTACAACGGTTTTGTTCATTGTATCGTTGAGAGATTTTACAATGTAACATTTGAGCAGTTTTCATTTAAGTCGTACTATAAATTGTTAAATTTAGCGCGTTATCATAATATCGGTAGTACTTTTTTAAGAGAGAATATGAAGATTAGATGAGCCACGGCATTTTTTTTTTTTTTCTTTTCTTCGGGTCAAGTGGCTCGCTGTGGTTGAGGGATTTCATAGAATCATAATTAATTTCCGCAGAGGAAACGACCTATACGTTTCATAATTTGAAAAGTTAAATTTTTTTTTTTGGTGCAAATTAAAATTCGACAACGAAAAGAGAGAATTAAAATTATTCCTAAAGAAAAACAGAGAGGTTAAAAACCAAAAACCAAAGCAGTCAGGTTGGATAAAAAGTAAGCAACTTGGGTACTCGCGCTTCATGTTTTCTATAGATAGATGCTCCGTCCCCGCCCCCGCCCAGGTGCTCGCGCTTTTCTTGTACATACATTTACGCTTATCGTATCAAAATCCACACACAACTTGGCCACTGGGGAACAGACTTACTCCGGTTTCTTGCGTTCATGTGCCCAGACCTCTAACTTACCCCATGGCAGAGCACTCCATGCTAAACTCATCCGAGGCCTTCTGCCCTTCTCTCCTTTTCTTCAAAACCATCTACTCAACGTGTACGCAAAATGCGGTGATCTTATTAATGCTCTCCAACTGTTTGATGAAATGCCTCACAAGAATGTTGTGTCGTGGTCTGCGGTCATTACGGGCTTTGTCCAACATGACTCTCCTAAGAAAGCCCTGTCTCTGTTTGGTCGTATGCACCGGGACGGCACCACCAAGCCCAATGAGTTTACCTTGGTTAGCGCCCTCCACGCCTGTTCCTTGTATGGGAACCTGACTCAAGCTTACCAAGTCTTTGCATTCATCGTTAGGCTAGGATTTGAGTGGAATGTTTTTCTCAGTAATGCGTTTTTGACTGTTTTAGTAAGACATGGGGAATTAAAAAATGCTTTGGAAGTTTTTGAGAATTGCCCCAATAAAGATATAGTGTCTTGGAATGCTGTGATGGCTGGCTACTTGCAGTATTCTTATTTGGAAATACCGATATTCTGGTGTCGCATGAATCTCGAGGGAGTGAAACCCGACAGCTACACATTTTCGAGTGTTCTCACTGGGTTGGCTGCTCTCACTGATCTTAAAATGGGCGAGCAAGTTCATGCACAGCTTGTCAGGTATGGCTATGGGGCTGAGATTTGCGTGGGGAATTCGTTGGCTGATATGTACATTAAGAATCAGAAGTTAATGGAGGGCTTCAAAGCCTTTGATGAAATGCCTTCAAAAGATGTGTGCTCATGGACCCAAATGGCTGCTGGGTGTCTTCAATGTGGGGAGCCAAGGAAAGCGCTTGAGGTTATTGATCAAATGAAGAAAGTGGGTATAATGCCTAACAAGTTCACGCTTGCAACTGCCCTGAATGCCTGTGCCAATTTGGCTTCCTTGGATGAAGGGCAGAAATTCCATGGCTTGAGAATTAAACTTGAAACCAGTACTGATGTTGATGTGTGCGTGGATAATGCTCTGCTAGACATGTATGCAAAATGTGGATGGATGGAGGGTGCAAGGAGTGTTTTTCAGTCCATGAAGGATCCGTCTGTGGTGTCATGGACCACAATGATCATGGGGTGCGCACAAAACGGGCAAGCTAGGGAAGCTCTTGAGATTTTTGATAAGATGAGGCTGGAGGAAGCCGGTATTGAGCCAAATTACATCACCTTCATATGTGTACTCTACGCATGTAGCCAGGGCAGGTTTATTGATGAAGGATGGAAGTATTTTGCCTCCATGACTCAGGACCACGGAATCTCCCCAGGAGAAGACCATTATGCATGCATGGTGAATCTTCTAGGCCGAGCAGGATGCATTAAGGAAGCTGAGGAATTAATCCTGAGCATGCCCTTTAAGCCGGGTGTTCTGGTTTGGCAAACTCTTCTTGGTGCTTGCCAGATTCATGATGATACAGAAACTGGAAAGCGGGCGGCAGAGCATGCATTAGATATAAACAGAAGGGATCCATCGACGTATGTGCTACTGTCAAACATTTTTGCTGGATTGAGCAATTGGGATGACGTTGGGATGCTTAGGAAACTAATGGAGGTTAGGGATGTGCAGAAAGTGCCAGGATCCAGTTGGATTGAAGTGGAAAAAGGCCAGGCATCATCACCTCTGTAAAGACCTGCTTAATTTCATTGGTACCTGCTTCCATATTCTCACCCACTTACTATTATTCAAACGATAAAATCTTAGACAAGTAGAAATTGACCTCTCTTCCTTCTCCTTGGAATTCCTACATGCTGTTTAATTGGGTGGAATTCGTTGGTTTCTCCTTGAGAGCTAGTAGTCCAGTATTTTATTGTTCCACGGCTGTGGCCCGTGGGGAGGTAATGATATTGTTCCATGGCTGGGCTTGAATTATCTAGATACAAGTGCGATTTATCATATTATCAAGTTAAACATTATTAGTCAAATTCGGTTTAAGCCATGTTAGACAATAAAGCATTTCTTTAAAGTCAGAAACGATTATATTATATATGTGTACTATATGATTTCATCCCTCAGATCATAGACCAAATCGAGTAAAGCTTTTATATAGTTAGAGGCTAAAGTGTTTTCAAACTAGTTTAAAGTGATTTGTATAAGCCTAATTTCATGTCATTGCTCATGTAAGGATTTCTGAAGTGAGCAATAAATCCTAGGTACCTAGCATAGGGTTTACTTGTTATACGTGCTATAGTGATAGCTTGTACTTGTACCTAGGAACGTAAGAGGTGAAGCAAGCTGTTCGATGTTACACAATCAGGTTGAGTTGCTCTTTTACCTTGGAATCAAGGTAGGGGTTCTGGGAAACCTTCTATTATTTAGTTTGAATATTGCTTCTGTATGTCTGTTTGTTATTACGTTATTATGAAGGTGGTTTGAATCTGAATAATGTTTCGAAATGTTGGTCGAATATGATTGATGATTTTATGATGTTTCGAAATGTTGGTTTTCAATATTGATTTTATGATTATCCTTGCTACGTGTAAAGAGAAATGGAAACTTTCATAACTATTCATGATGTGAGAATGGGTTGAATTATTAGAAAGAAATTTTGGAAATGGTGGTAATGACCAGGAGCTTTTGTGTAGTTGAGCTCAACTCTTGGTAGGCATCAGGTTTTAGATCAATCCAAGACACACATTCCATACGCCCTGCTTACTAACCAAAGCTACACTCACACCCCACACATTCCATACACCCCCACACCAAAATCCACCTCAAGTCTTCCATCTTGTCCCAAAAACATTTTTTGTCTTTGTCCTGAGCACATTTGCAACCTTGAAATAAAACTTTGGGAAAAAGAGAAAGGGGAAAAGAACATTTGCAACCTCCAAATAAGCCTTTATAGAATTTACATTTAATAAATAAAAAAAAGAGAAAAAACCAAATATATTCATTAAAAGGAAAAAATCTAAACCCATAAATATAGGAATAGGGTTAGGATTAAAAGAGTAAAAAGAAAAAACCATTTTAAATAGGATGAAAAATAAGGAATTAAATTAGAAAAGAAAAATAAAAGATAGTGTTGTGGTGTATTAGTAGTAGGACAAGAAGAGTCCACTCCTAGTCATCCACATCCGTCGAGTGGTCGTACATCGGCGCGCACTCGCCTAAACGCCATATTTCATCCACTCATTACAACTTTAATCTCTCTGTCTCTGTCTCTCTTCTCTCTCTCTCTCTCCCCAAAAGTAAAAACTCCCTTCCCTTGAGGCTTGAGCCTTGAGTTTCAGGCGTCCCTCGTCTCGTCCTCCGTATAAATCGCCTCGCCCATCCTCTGTCAAATCTCTCCCTCTCCTTTCTCAACCCAAGAGTCATGTCGTCCTCGGGCGGCCACTCCGGCAGTGTTGGCGGTCCGATCGCCCCTCAGCTTTACTTCTGCCACCAGTGCGACCGTACGGTTTCCCTCACCCCCTCACCTACCTCCGATCTCGTTTGCCCGCTTTGCAGCGGCGGCTTCCTCGAAGAGATGGAAACCCCCAACCCTAACTCTTTCCCCCCCAATCCTTTCTTCTCCTTCCCCTCCTCCGACGCCCCTCCCTTCGCCTCCAGCGGATTTCCCCTCCTCTTCTCCTCCTCCGCCTCTGGTCCCGCTCCCGCTCCCGCCCCTGCCAATCACGCCGATGATCTCTCCTCCCTCTTCGGTGGCGCACCCTCACGCTCCTCACCCTTTCACGACCCCGACGCCTTCAACCCGTTCGTCTTCCTCCAGAACTACTTGCAAACCCTAAGGGCAAATGGTGCCAATGTCCAGTTCGTGATCGATGGCAGCCCTGGCGGCGGCGGCGGCGGGGACCCATCAGGTTTTCGTGCTCCTACCAATCTTAATCTCGGCGATTACTTCTTTGGCCCGGGCATCGAGCAATTGATCCAACAATTAGCCGAGAACGATCCAAACAGGTACGGCACCCCACCCGCCTCTAAATCCGCCATCGTAGCCTTGCCGGTTGTGAAAATTTCAGAGGAGTTGTTGGCTTCGGATTCATCACAGTGCGCGGTGTGTAAGGACTCATTTGAGCTCGGTGAGGAGGCCAAACAGATGCCCTGTAAGCACTTATACCACTCGGATTGTATTCTGCCTTGGCTGGAATTGCATAACTCATGTCCTGTCTGTCGCCACGAGTTGCCCACTGATGATCCTGAATACGAGCAGAGGATCCGTGGGGACTCCGGAAATGGCAATCAAACCAGTCAATCTGTGGCTCCTGGTGGGACTAATATTTCTATGGGCGGTGGTGGGAGTGTTAGTGGGTTTGGGTTAGGAATTGGCACGCCAGCTCTAGACAATCCGAGTCCAAGTCCGCGAACGGTGGAGCGGAGGTTTACCATTTCCCTACCACGCTTTTTCGGGGCACTTGGTGGTCCGGCCGAGACTAGCAATACTGGGAGTGGAAACAATGAGGAGTCGAACTCAGGGAATAGGGGAAGGCATAACTCTGGATCGGAGGAGCCTAGGCAAGAAGATCTTGATTGAGCACAATTGGTATTGCACTTGTTACTTACCTAACACATTTATATATCTTTGCCTTCCATTTGGTTATTCTAACCTAACAAGCTTGAATGTGCCTGTCAAACTTTGTTATTTATATCCTTGACAAACAATGATCATTAGCTCCTTTATTTTTGCATCACTGGTTTAACTCATATTTTCATGAAAAATCATGTAAATTTGAAGTCTTTATTTGATAATACTTATCGTAAGCCTTCTATGTGGCAAACTTGCAACTGGATTGTACCTTAGAAACATTGTTTTGCATGAGTTATTTGTAGCTAATCAATGTGGGATGAAACGACTGGTATAGTGTTAGGTACAAGGAAGAAACTGTCGTAAGCAATGGGTCATTCTGGTTTCTTCAGAAGTAACATGCAACCAGTAGACCTCCATTCATATAAAACTTCCAACAAGCCTCAACAATCTTATAAATTACCTTCTTTGAACTAGTAAAAGTCTATAATGCATACCTGAAGAACTCTGGAAATATACAGATGTGAATTGGGAATGCATATCTAAATAATAATACTAAACCATAGTGTATAACACACATAAATGCAGCTGCGTTGGTTGATACTCATAATTATTGGTATTTTGGTGTATCCGATCGCCATACTGTGATATGGCTGATATCAACCATATCTCATGAGATGGTTGTAGGAGGTGACTTTAACGGCATCTCTAGGATAATGTTTGAAATCCTAGACGGTATGATATTTGTTTATAGGTGAGAGATCTACGAGGTGCATAAGCACCAATGCCACGACATACTAGGTTTATTATGTGTAAAGGCTAAGATCACCATCTGCAGTGTTCTAGGGTAATGTTGTCTAACTCTTGGGATAAACCTACTCTGCCCAGGAGTGAACCTTCCGTTCTTTTCTTGTGTCTTAATCTGGTGTCCCTGGTCAGGGTAGTCATAGATCACCATCCCAATTATGTATGATTATGGATCTGTAGCAGTGACCTTAGTCTCTAGATTTGAGAATATGTGACTCATCCTTCCTGATTTATTTCAGAAGATCAAGTTGTTCTGAGTTTTTTCTATTTTATGTATCCAGCTTTTGAAGGTTACTCTCAAAAAGTGGAGAAGCGATGGGGTTGGATGTATAGGTGGGTCGGAGTGCTTTATAAATTTCATGCAGTAATTTGGCTATAAGTTAGTGGGACAGTAGTTATTCTGCTCATATTCCACTTCCTAAATGTGGAAGTTATGAGATACAAATTCTAAGCAGTAAGTTGACTATAAGCTATTGGGGAAGTGGTTATTCTGCTTGTTTTCCAATTTTCTAATTATGGCAGTTATGACTTGCGAATTCTTAGGTTTGTCAGACTCTTGAATCGTTGGATGCATCAGATTTTTGATAGGAGCATACTTGTTTGCATTATTAGTTAAATTGTAATACTCCTAATTCTCTTGTTGCTATCAGAATCACCTGAAGTTGTGTGCTGATGAGATTTTTGTATTGTGTTCCATCCATTCAAAAGAGTTGGACCATACAAAAATCTAGGCTGTTTTGTTTGTATCAGTATTGGATAGTATGAGTATTTCTATCCATTCAAATCAGATTTTAATGTTTATTTTTCTTTTCCATTCAAATCTAGGCTGTCTTGTTTGTATTAGTATTGGATCGTAAGAGTGTTTCTGTGTGACCAAGTTTTTTAAGCCAATCCATACATAAACGAGGTTCTTTTGTTTTAGTATACTGAAACTTGAGGAAATCAATATGGATCCTTGGTTGGATTATTTCGAGTGCATGTTTGACTATATTTCCAGCAGCATTTATGTGCATGATTCATTTAGTTTATGAAGCAAGTCTTTAACATAGCTTTATGTTATAAGTTCTAAGACTTTTGGCATTGCTTGTTGTCTCCGATTGAATTGGAATGGATAGCTCATAAAATTCAAGGTATATTGAAGGTTGGTGTATGATTTTTCATTTTTAGGGTATTAGAAGTGGAAGATTAGACATGAAGGAAACTTGTCCCTTCTAGTCCTTTCATTTGGGGGGATTGGATCCATCTACTTTTTAATTGGACACAGTTTTTCCATATCTTCCTTCAAAATATATTGAATACTGTGAAATATTCAATCCTAGACACCAAATGAGCCTTAGTGCTCTTTTTTTTCTAGTTTGCCATGTGGCGTCGTGTTTAGTTTTGAATTATGTGCTCTAAATGTTATCTCTCCCTCTCTCTCTATCTCTCTCGCTCTGATATTACAATTTTATTAAGTTTTCAATTAAATGGTTGCTTTGTCTCTTTTTGGTAGGTACAGTTGGCAGATTGGATATGCAACCAATTGTTGAACAAAGAGAAAGATCTTACACATTAACAGTTAGTGACAATTGTTTTTCTCTAAATATTTTGTCCTGATAATCATAGGTAAATGTCCATCGTTATTTTTCATTGTTGTGAATTCTTTTATAGATTCATCATCTATTTATGAGAAGTTTATGTGCATGATCCGTGTTAATTTTTTATGTGTCGTGTGTCGTGTAATGTGTCTGTAATGAGGCATTGTCTTTCTTTCTTAATTGGCTTATATTGTAGTGTAGCTGTGAAATGGTTTTGATATTGTATCTCTGATTCTATATTTTTGTTATTGTCACGCCCACCCCACCCCCACCCAAATTGTGATTAGGCGCCCTAACCACGGAGTTTATGGCCGTAATTGTGAATCCCTTTAGTGGTGATGAACTTGACCGCCAGTATGTAGTGAGTAGAAATGGAGATTGGTGTTGCCATGGCCGTGTTATTTGACCGTGTATCAAGAATTTAGTAGCCAAAAATCACATTGTGTCTGATACCTTGGAGTAGGGGTGGCATTTTGGAGCCAACTTGACCCAACCCACCCATTAAAATCAACATTTGGGTGGATGATTAACGGGTTGGGTCGTTAACGGATGGACCTGTTAATCACATGTTGTTCTACTGGTCATTTTGAGTCTACCTACATACCCGCTAAGCACCTGTTAAGTAAGGGTGTTTGTGTAATTTTAATAAAAAACCTAATCCAGCTTTCTCTCTTGTGCATTACCACACAACCTTTTGCTTTGTTTGCATTCTTCCAACTTCAAATACTATACAAACTCTCTCTCTCTCTAGACTGTATAAAACTTTGCATATAAATTTACCTGACAGCCATCTCTTCTGCAAAATATATTTTCCATGCCAATGATTGATCCTCATATATATCATTTCATTTTGGTTTCATGGTCTGTATAAATAGTAGCTTGATTAATATTAAAATGGAGAAGACAAGATTATAGCAACATTTCCAATTGATTTTAGGGCATGTTTACTTACAAGAAACAGGAATTGAAATCATTTTGATTCATGAGTTCATTGCGGTTACAAAAATATGGGTATGGAAATCATTTTATTCTTTTAACTTTCTCATGTGTTTACTTACACGTAAAGATTAGAAAAGTGCAAGTTTTTCATAAAATCCATAAACAAATACCAAAAAATAAGGAATCGGATTGACTAGGAGGGATTGGTTGTTTAGATTCTCTTTTCTTACTTATCCTACTTTTAAGCTTTTCCCATTCATTTCTTTTCCAATTTTTGTTAAGTAAACATGCCGTTGCTACTACATAATGGATGACCCTTTTAATGTGGAATGATGATATAAGTCTTTTTACCCTTTTAATAAAGAAATAGTGTGTGGAGTTAACTTTGGAAGGTAAATAAGACGTTAGATTCGCAATCTATTTTAAATGTTAAGGGTTTATAGGCGAGAAAAGAATAATATTACACTCTAAAGTGTGTCAAGTGACTTAATTGACGAAAAATTAAATAAAATAACTTTGAATATAATAGTTAGTAGGGATGAAAGTAGCAATTTTTAATAAATTTAAGGACTTATTTTACTGAAAAAACCATTCACGGGCCTAATTTTCATTGAGCTAATAGTTCAGGAACTAAATCGGCACTTTATATATATATATATATATATATATATATATATATATATATATATATTAGGATGAATTACTAACTTATTGTGATGAAGTTGAGTCGAGTAAGGTAGGTCTATATCACGGATAATGATTCTCTCTTCTCATTTCTTCTCTCTGACTTGAACGGTTACGATTAATGTACGTCAACATCTTGTATTGATTTTTTTATAGAAATAAAAATGTAAAAAACAAAGTGTAAGAGAATAGAAGAAAAGGGGATGAAAATATAAAAAGAGATGAGAGAATCTTATTATTTATCACGTGCATAAATCAAATAGTGCAACATTGTCCCTCTTTTTCTCCTCCTCCTCATGCCCCGTTGTACTCTTCTCAAAATGGATAAAAATAAAATAAAAATTAAAAAAAGGGCGGGAAATAATACAACAATCCCTCAAAAGGGCAACTAGGAAATAAAATAAAAAAATAACTCCAAATGTATGTAGGGGGAGGCAAGTCGAGGTGGGAATGCAAATACATATACGCATACGACTACTGTACGGCTATGAGAAGGAGGGTGGGGCCCGGAGGTGGGACTTGGAGAGTTGTTCCTTCGCGTGACTTTATCGTACGATACAAAATGCTATATAAGACGATTACGAGAAAAAAAAAAAATTATGTTACGTGGTGAAATTTGTTAAGATTTATGTGTAAAATTGAAAATTTTATCTAATTATTTGTTAATTACTAACATGTGATAAATTTGGAGATTAGGGAGAATAAATTTGAAGAAATTTTTTGAAAACTAAACGATATAGAAGGTGAGAGTTGGTTTATTCTTTAACCGTTAATAAACATGTTCATTTTTATTAATGACACATAATTTAGTTTGTTAATTTTGTCTCTAAATTTAGTCGCCTAATATTACCCTAGGCTAAAATAGAACCCTCTTTTAATTGTTAATGCGTGATATTACATGTAAGACTAATTTTATCTTTTTAGTCTCACATGCGAGCCTAATATGCTAACAATTAACGAAAATTGACAAAATTTTCAATTTAAGCTTAAAATATTAGAAGACTTCACCACAAGATTTAAATCCTAGTTTTTTTTTTTTTTTCAATAAAAATTATTTTTCATCTACCGTATCACCACATAAATCTGCTCGAGAGGAGTGCCCCATTAAACCAATGAAAACCAAGAATTGCTGGAATGAAGGAGAAATAGAAAATGAAAGAAGACCAGATAGGTGATTTACTAATAATCTAATATTAGGCATAAAAATAAAATGAAAAAGATGATTGAGTGTTACTGCTGCTGAGGCTGAGAGATGTGTCGGTAGTCGGTTCGGCTTCTCCCTCTCTCTCTTGTCCGCTGTCCTCCTCAAGTCCTCCCTCAACTCAACTCAACTCAGCTCTGTCATTCCGCGTCAAAAGAAAATACAATATTGTTATTTTATTTTTATTATTCATAGTTGGTTTCCTGTTAATGTTTAAAAAATCAAATAACAACTGTCTGCCTGATGCTTCTTCTCCAGCATCACAATCACCATCACCAATTCACCATCACCATACAAGAAGAAGAAAAAGGCCAAGTATTTGACTTTTTTGTGGACTCCATTTTTCTTTACAATTTAATATTATTGTTATTCTTTCTCTTGTATTGCTGTATGGATCTGGTTTCGTGTCGGTTGGCTTTCTGAAAAAATCTCTACCCCCGAAGTCCCAGCCAAGAGATTGGATTTGGATTGGATTTGAGGCAGTCGGCACTCGGCCACAGCTGCCAAGGGACGAGAGATCTGAGAAGAAGAGGCATATCAATTATGTCTCCTTCCAATACAAGGTCGGCCGAGAATAATGGAGGAGGAGGCGGCGGCGGCAAGAATTACATAGAGCACCAAGTCTCAAAGATGGACACACTCGCCGGCGTTGCCATCAAATACGGCGTCGAGGTTTCCAATTTTTCTCTGAGATACCTTTTTTAATTAGCTTCTGCCCTGCCTGCGCATTGTTCCTAATTACGTTTAGTACTAGTCTTAATTGCTAAAAATTGGTATGGAATTGATAAATGGTAAACCCTAAACAGGTGTGTGACATTAAAAGGATGAATGGGTTTGCTACGGATCTTCAAATGTTCGCTTTGAACACCTTGAAAATACCTTTGCCCGGAAGACATCCTCCCTCTATTCCTTCTCCAGCCACAACCACAACCACAACCACAAGGTAACATCTTCTCATTTCTCTCATTCCGATTTCCAACAATTTATAACAAGAAAGAGAAGAGATATCATCTTTTTAATATGACTCTTGACTCTTGACTCTTGACTCTTGATCGGAATCCTACATTTTTACATGCTACTTGTTACGTCTCTATGTTGAGAATACCATTGCAAGCGTAGATTTATTATTCCTGAAAACTTGATTTTAGGGTTCCTTCCTTAAGGCTCTATCGTCTATAACAAGGTTGAAGCATTTCTTCTTAAGTTATGACGTTTCCTTTACCAACTTTCAAGTCGGAATGGATGCTCGAGTGCCTCTTAGTCTCTCTCTATATAGCTGCCGCTTTACATAAAGCTAATCTTCTGTATAACTTATTGCAGAGAAAACGACCTTGAAAAATCCACCCCATGTCTTGGCCAATCTATTATGCTAGAACCATTCTGCTCTTCTGTGGGTTCAAACCCTCCCAATGAGAAGAAGGCCACTACAGCAATGAGCACTTTACAGAAATACTATGGTCTAACATCTCCAAACTTGAAGGCAAAAGCAGAAGGCACCGAGATGGCTGTCTACAGAAGTCGAAGTTCTGAATCCTTTGATCAAAGTGCGGTCTCACCATTGTCTGACCCACTAAGTCACCCTAAGAAGTCCAGACATTCTTCCATTGATCTGTTGTCGGAGAATGGTGCAATGGCTGATTACCTTGCAGCAGAACTTGGAGATGGGCAGGGTGAGAAATCTGATGACAAATCAGTCCGGAGGCGTCAGAAAGCTGAAGTTGATAATGGGGCTGTCACACCTGAAAGGTTGTTGAAGGGGGAAAACAGTGCTGGGACCAGAGCTTCAACAGGAAATGGTTTAGCCATGAGGCAGAAGTCATCAAGCCGAGCATCGCTGCCATCTGATTCGGAGTCAGGATGGTTGAACTCTATTCCGGTGGGCATGGGGGATTCTATAACTGTCATGACAGACGAAATGGCTGTGGTTCAGAAGTCATCAAGCACACCGAGCTTAAAAGACCAAGACAGTAATAACACAGCATCAATTTGGCCAACTTCAAGGTGGAGCTTGACACAAGACATTCAAGCTCTGTCAAGTGCAACGATGGCCAGACCAATCTTTGATGGCTTACCAAAGCCAATAACTGGCCGCTGGAAAACTGCCCTTGATTAGAGAAATTCATTAGCACTGTGATATCATCAATTTGTTTCCTTACACTCGATCCAGTTGGCTGAAAATTTCTCAGCTACAGATTCCACTGAAGGCATACATATTCTAGAGCTGGTGCAGTATTATAATTCGAGCGGGAGAAATATACTTGAGAAGGAGAGGATAGAAGGAAAATAAATTGAATAAGATATGACATGCAGAACTATGTTTATAACAGCATATAAAGTGTGAAGCAGTAGATGCCATGCCGCAGCTTGAGAAATGTAGATGGTATATGGCCAAATTATTTATTGTTTTGTTCTTGTTTGCTGTCATGTGTTGGTTTGTGATTTGTATCGAAAAATAGGAATCTGGCTTCTTGTATTGGGTCATGTGATATGTTACTCGTTGTATAATGTTTGTGAGGCTGTGCATTACAGCAGAATTGTTTATTGCTTATTGGCAATGTAGATTGAATTTGTTAGCACAACGCTCTCTTCTACTTCATCTGTTGCATCTTCTATTGGTGGTTTGTGCTCACTGGCTTTACATTGACACTCTCAGTAAGAAGCGACCTTGCCTCCACGGTTCCACCCACCACTCCAGGCTCCAGCCCTTGTCTCTGGCCTCATGCTCGGGCTCCGACCGACGGTGGTTTGCACATTTGAGGGCGGAGACAATTGAATTCAATGAGCTTAGGAGGAAGCTAACCAATTGTTATCAGAAACACTTGATGCAAACATTTGGTTGAGAACTTTTTTTTCTTTCCCTTTTTGAACTTTCAACCGCGAAAACAATCTAACAGATTGCACTTGTATGCAAGATTTGTACAAGTTTTTGGATTAAAAAACAACATTACTGAAATTCACCAGCATCATATGTCAATTCTCAATTGACGAAAACCAACATTGACAAATTACTACATGTCACAGGGATTTTGGGGCATTACAATTCTTTGTTTTATCACTCACAAAACCTAAACCTAATTCATTAGCCCCTTCTCCTTCTAACAAACACCAATGCGCAGTACAAAACATCGTCACAGATCCACAATATTACTGATCAGACGGCGTTTCTGTTAAGGCCTTAAGAAGAAGGTGAGGGATGATGGTCGTGACCGTGATCGCGGTCGTGGCGGTGATGGTGTTCGTCATCGTCGCTGTCGTCCTCGTCGAAGGGCTTCTGCTTGTGGAAGATGCAGCACTTTTTGGAGCTCTTCTTCTGCATGAACTCGTTGTCCACCGTCCCTTCCTTCCACGACACCTGCTTCTTCTTCCGATTCAGCCTCAGCACCACACCTTCCGATTGCGATGACGATGCGCCCGCGTTCTCAAGGGTGATGGTCGTCGTCAAGCTCCCGCTCGTCATTGGTGCTGTTCTGCCTCTACCTCTGCCGCCGCCGCCGCCGCTCATGCTTCAATCGCAAATCGAAATCAATCGTCAATCGCAAAGGCGTTTGGCTGGTTCACTCGGTACCAGGTCTTATTTTGCCTCCCTTTCCCATTTTTTTTCTTCTTTTCTTTTTTCTTTCTTCTCTCATTTATTTAGATTAGAGTTAGACACCTTTGACTGTTCTAACCACTCGCCAACATTTGCTTGCTTCTTCCTCCTACTTTTTCCTTTCATTTTGCGTAAATTATATTTCATGCGTACTTAGTATACGGAATTAGATCCTCTCCGGATCTTCTCGTTGGGGATCCGGGAGATCATTAAATATTAACTGTTCATCAAAAATCGTCGGTCACAATTAAATATTTTTTATATTTTCAAAAGTAAAGCAGCCTCGTTTTGCATAAAAAAATATAAAAAATGAAAAAATCGTGACCGCACAATCTTTGATAAACGGTTAATATTCATTGATCCACAGGATTCCCAGTGAGGGAATGCGGAGAGGATCTAATTCCCTTGGATACAAGTTGATTTGAATGATCATTTGATATTGCTTAATTTTGTTAACTAATTCTCGTACTTACTGTACTAATCGATGTAGATCATGCTTTAGAAATGAACACCTGAAGGATGAAACGAATAGTATGGGAATCGTTACAATCCATGGCGACAAGTGCAATTCAAATGACATTCGTGCTAAGTTTGACAAGGCAGGAGTTCTTACAATGATAATACCGGTTGCATATGATGATCATTACCATGAAAAAGTTGTAGTAGCAGCTGCAGATGAAACACAATAACAATACTATTGACAAAAAAAATTCAGCAACAACTGCAATTACTAATTACGATCAAAGTAGTGATTATGATGTTAATAAACCAACAAGTTGCGAATTTAAGGGCTAAAGGATTATAGTTTCTACAAAATTGAAAATGGAAAAAGATGTTGCAGTGAAGCTTGTGCCAGCAGTTGTCGTGATTGTGGCTTTTGTATTTGGCGCATATGTTGTCAAATATTACAATAAATAATGGACCATCATAACCATGTATACATACCAATTAACTAATGTTTATCAAATTCTAATTAATTAATTAATAAAAACGTCATTTGAATTTTTATTCTGTTAAGTTGAAAAGCAAATAGCTAGTGCATGAATATAATTCTATACCTAAGTGAAATGCCAACGATTGTGGGGATAGCTCAGTTGGGAGAGCGTCAGACTGAAGATCTGAAGGTCAGGTGTTCGATCCACCTTCACCGCACCAAGTTTTTTTCTTTTTAGTTTTTCAATTCGTTATCTATTTATTTTTTTAAAATGAAAAACTAAGAAAATAATTAATATATGAATTTGACCTATTCTGAGTGTGGTGGTGCTGGAGAGCGGAGAAAGAGAGATGGGATCGAGAGGAGCAGGGACGGTGGTGTCGCAGCTGACACGAGCGAGCAGAATGAGAACGAAATTGCAGACGGCGTTGGAAGCGAGCGTTTTGGAGATTGAAGACGTGTCGCATCAGCACGCTGGCCATGCCGCCATGAGAGACAAGGCCAATGCCAATGGCGAAACTCACTTCAACCTCAAGGTCGTGTCCTCAAAATTCGAGGGGCAGAACCTGGTGAAACGACACCGCATGGTCTACGATGCCTTGGCTGACGAGCTCCAGTCCGGCCTCCACGCGCTGTCCATCGTGGCCAAGACTCCCCAAGAGATTGCCCCCAACCCCAAATAATAGGATTCGAAATTCCACCTAATGAAAACTCTCTTGTGGTTAATCCAATTGCTGATTGCTACTTGCTAGTGTTTTATTTATGCAGCAGGATTTATCAGATTATTATTATTATATATATTATGTATTTTTTGTTGGTTTTAAATGTGACATTGAAATGCTTGCTTATATTTTAGTTATACATCCAATTTGTTTCTTCCAGAATTATGCTATGCGCTTTGATTATAATTTTGCAGTTTTCAGTTGCAGTTTGCGCTTGAATGAATGTTTTGCATTTTGCAAGTATTGAGAGAGAGAGAGAGAGAGAGAGAGAGAGAGAGAGGTGAAAATATGAGGCTTGTGAGAGTCAAAAGTTAAAAAACTCAGACAGAAATAGAAGAGAATAGAAGAGAATAGAAAAGAATGGAAAATGGAAAATGACTGTAGGCATGCTTTGAGGAATGCCAACCGTTTTTCCTTGGAATTAGTTGAGCCTCTACCTTCATTCCAGCCTCTCTCTCTCTCTCTCTCTCTCTCTCTCTCTCTCTCTCTCCGTGCTTGGGCCTTGCCTTCCTTCGCTCTCAAGCCTTAACGACTTGCCTCTGTTGTTGCTGTTGCTGCTGCTGCTGCTGTGTAGGTGTTGTTGTGTTGTTGTTTCAGGTCCCGTATCATCCAAACCAACAAACTAGCGAAGGTAGGAGCACAAGCACACACACTCACACTATCAACAATGAACAACAAAGCCTCTGTTTCGAAAGACCTCAACGCCAAACACCTCAAGGTATCCTTTATTTTCTCTATTTCTTCCCCCCTCTGTTCCTTGCACATTCTTGTGCTGCTCTTACATTTTCCATTATTGTTACTGTGTTATGTTGCATGTTGTCACTTGTGCCCCCAGATTTTAGAAGGTCTTCTTAAGCTGCCACAAAACAGGGAATGTGCTGATTGCCGGAGCAAGTACGCATTTCACATCCCTCTCTTTCCTTTTGTGTAGCATATTTTTACTACTGTCTTCAAGTGCTATTCTCGGCTATATTTCATATTGTTTGGTCCTGATTGTGGCAATTTGATGTCCATATTAACGTGATCTTCGTGCTGCAATGTATTTCTTTCAGAGCTCCGCGATGGGCTAGTGTCAGCCTGGGAATATTTATTTGCATGCAATGCTCAGGAATTCATCGGAGTCTTGGGGTGCATATTTCAAAGGTTTATTTTTCTACCTATCATTTCTCTATTTCCTAGTTCATATGCTGTTCGTGCTGGTAAGGTTTTTTTTTTTTCCTTTCCTTTCCTGGCATCTCAAATTCAAATGGATTGGTACTCATTGAAGAAATTGAACAGCCATATGACTAGAGAATTATTCTTGGTTTCTGAAATTGTTAAAGATAAATAATGAGGCCATTGTATACCTTCTGAGTAATCGAAAATGTTTTGAATGACAATGGTGATTGGCATATCCTGAATCTGCTACGAGTTATTTATGTGGTCTGGTCTACTGGACTACTGTTATCAAAGTTAAGTAATATTCTATATACATCTGTTTGAGTAGCATATGTTTTCATACTATTGCAACTCTATGTTCGAATAATAGCGTAGCCTGGTTGATCTTGGAAATAGGTACGGTCTACAACTTTGGATACATGGCTGCCAGAACAGGTTGCTTTTATGGAATGTAAGAACACGACTATGGTAGCTGATACTGAATCATTATTTGTCATCTTAGTGCCATTTTTTCCCTCTTTTTCCTCGAAATCATTTAACCAAAGTAGTTGTTAAACATCAGTTCAGTATTCACATTTTTGCTCTGTGTGTTTTTAATCTTTTCTAACCGACTACTATCTTCTGATTCATTATCCAGTTAAATAACTCTCTATGCACTTTCATGTAGCCATGGGTAATGAAAGGGCAAACAGTTATTGGGAAAAAGAATTGCCACCAAATATTGACAGAAGTGGGACTGAGAAATTTATTTGGGCCAAGTAAGTTGTTTTCTTAAACTAATTATGAGCTTCATGTGGAACTTGGAGAATATGTTGGTTATTATTTCCTTCTGCGCTTAACTTTCTAGGGAACTTACAGGTATGACGGAAGAATGTGGGTTGCGAAGAATGCAAAACAACCAGCTCCTGAACCAGTAGATATGAGCATCCATTCCAACAATATGGTAAAGGGTGGAGCCACATCTGGAGCTCCTAAGAAAACAAGGAGAAATTCTCTTGAGGAAGCAATGCTTTTTTACTAACCTGGCGGAAGCTGCTCCTACAGTGGCAAGACCCCGTGGGGTGAATTTTTTATCTGGTTATGTTTGCTATGTTATCTTGATGAAAATGCTCAAATTTTTTGTTTCTGACCCTTAATTGAGTTCTTATGGGTCTTGCTCATTCTTAGACCGATAAGGGAGCTTTTAGAAAATTGGCGGTTTAAAGATGAAAGCAAAAAAGTCGAGATTCTTTGTTGCCGATATCACTTTCTTTGGAGTTTATGAGATTGAGAAATTAGGTCTGGTGAAGCAAAAAAAGGTTTTCACTTTTGCCTAATATTTGTCATATATGATCCATAATTTGACTTCATAGATTATTAAGCTGCTTTTTGCCTCTACCCTTTAATATATACCTATCATATTGTACTTAGGCCTCGCCCAAGTTTTCTGGAAGAAAAATTTATAAGGTCCATACCAAGTAACCTATTATATAACTGATTTCACGTGTCGAAAAGATGACACGAATGAGAAAAGTCACTACCCATCAGGAGCTATCTGCTTCCGTGATTTGTTGTATGTCTACTCTTTCATGTCTTTTTGTGTGCTTTGTCAAATGTGTTTGTAATGCTCTTATCTTCTGTGAGTAATTTTAATGGTACTTTTGACAAGTCGAAGGCATTTACTAGTTAATATTTACCTTGTTTATTGCAGGGCTCTTTAGATTTGAATCATAAGTTTACTACTTCACCTCCAGCAAAGGGGCCACCACCTTCGATGGAATGTGATACAGTCACAAAAAAGATCAACGGTACAACAGACCTATTTGGCTTGCTGTATGTTCATGATGCAAAGCAGAAGTATGCCACTCCCCCACCCTGGCAAACTTTTGATTGTAAGAAAATTATAGTAACATGTTTCTTTTTGTTACTTATATTTTTGTAGTTGGGTAGGAAGTAGTAAAATTGAAGAAAGCGAGACGGAAAATAACTTGAATTTGAGTAGTTCCTCCTTAAAAACCCCAGCAAAAACATGTTTATAATTAATACATGGAAAATGACTTGTGATCATCCATGCTTTGCAGGAGAAGATGATTTTTTGAGTTAAGGCCATAGTTTATAACTGAACTGGATTATGGAAGATTTTGCTCTTCTTTCCTATTCCTATTCCTATTCTAGGGAGTACTAATGTCGCACGCTATGGATTATGGAAGAAGAAAAAATGGTGCAAAGGAAAAAGAATTGTATCACATGATATGCAAGAAAACGTTCGGGCTGAGTCTGCAGAATATGCCATTAACTTAATTGGTTTCTTTCCTTGCAAGATTTCGTTTTCCAGTTGGTTGCAAGAATGAGGTTGTTTGACCTATATATTTGCGTTTGTTCTCATGTCCATCCATCACCTTCAAAACCAAAACTAGTTTCTTCTGTAATAAGACTACATTTATTTTCTTTTCTTGTTTGTTCGATCCTTCTACACTTCATACACTGCAACAGAAGAGAAGAGAAGATCAGATGGGATCTGAATCAATCAAAAGATTTATTTTCTTTTTCTCCCGTGTCTTTATCGATCTAATATTCTGTAATGACAGAGACAGAAAAAGAATTAATAAACAAAAAAAAGGAAGATATGTACGTAACTCATAGAGAAGAGATCCCATCCGGATTTCTCCTACCAAATCCAAGGGATCCGGAGATTAAGACTCTTGAAATTTGATCCAACAGTTACAATTGTTATAACTTTTAGAGAGCTTCCTGTTTGTAACCGTTTAATCAAATTTCAAGGGTCTGGATTTCCCGATCCCTAGGATTTGGTGGGAGAGATCCGGATGGGATCTCTTCCCAAACTCATAATAGTAAACAAGAACAAAAAATTAAAGGAAAAATAATGAAAATAACTTTAAAATTTTGAGTTTTAATGATAATGATAAAATAAAAAGTAAAATGAATAGTATCAGGATTGACATTTTAATGTAAAAATATGATTTTTTATTAAAATAAAAAATACGAAAAACTTTTCGTTAAAATCTTTTAAAATTAATATCTGGTTGGAGTTGGACGTTCATCATTCATGATTTGAAGATTGGAGTCCCACAATCCAAGGAATATTATAAATAATAATACAGTGAGAAAAACGAAGGCCTTTTATGTAAATGACATATAAGGGCACATATAGCTTTCATTAGATTATGCAAATTATACGGTCAAATTTGCCGACGCTACTAAGTTACTAAGTTGCAGGACTGTGTTGCAAATCCTATGAAATACAAAAGAAATCCGAATTCGACTTTCATTTTAACCTCCTTAATTATGCATGCATACATACAAACAGTTGATCATCAGATTATATGCTAATTAACTATAGAATTACATGTACAACAAGATTCAAAATAAGTGTCTAAGTCTTTTATGCATTGGTTGCATCAATTGGTTCATTTTAATTTAATTGGAATCTGTCAGAAGAACATATATCAATAATTACATTGCATCTACGTTATATATATATATATATATAATCAACTTGGATGTTATATATATGTTGTTATCTAATTGGAAGGATTTGACCCAAAATTTCAATTTGGCTCCTAGAGATCATGGATATATAACTTCCCTTCATAATATTATATGTATTCTTCTATACAATAATTATATTCCAATATATTTTATATATAAGAGTGAAATGACATGTCAACTGTTGACCCTCTCTCTCTCTCTCTCCATCGGAGCATCTTCATCTAATTTGATACATGCATGATACATAATGTACATGTATAATATCCAATAAATATATATATTAATTACAACCATTCACTTCATCATGAATTACTCAGGATTCACTTCATCATGAATTAATCAGGAATGGATCGAACCATCTGTCAATTAAACTGAGACATGCATGCTTTTGTCGTCCATAATTTTAATTCTGTGACCTCTATGTATAATACATCTAAATATAAAATTAATTGGACCTTTTATAAAGGGGACTATGACATTATTAATTAATTAATTACAAAGGGTCATCTTCAAAC